TATCGAAAGCCTTTTCTGCATAGATTTAAACGATGAAACTGGTTTTCATTTGGGGTTATGCAATACTCTAGTAGTTTGATGAGTCTTCTTGTAATGCTTTCAATAAAACCAGTCTGTTCAGAGTGGAAAAGGTGATATGTTTTCAAAGATTTTGGCTGATGTGTTAAAGAAGACTTTATGCTCTGTATTTATGAGTGATATTGGACGGCAGCTAGATGGAAGTGTGAGATCTTTATCTAATTTGAGTGACTCACCATGTCCGGCCAAAGCAGCAGGCTGTAGAGCAATGACAATGGACATCTCTAAAAATGCCATAGATCCTTACAATCAAGCAACATCTAGATAAACCAAGATTATATCTAAGAATACAAAGCTACTTTTTGCATAAAAGTATATATTTTTTCACCACATTGTTCTTTCTTTGGAACTTTACCTTCTACGCTGCAACTTTAACAGTATAACTCCTTTGGTCTCTGACGATTTTGAAACTCTTTTTTAGGTATGAAAAGTAAGACATGTCCAGGAAAAACTGGACGTCTAGTCACCCTACCATATCGATAATTTTGATGTTTCAGTGAGTGAGTGCTTGTTGCTATGATGCGTCTTTGCTACACAGCTTCGCTCCAACCAATCAGCGCACAGCTCATCTTCATTCATGAGCAAAAATATAAGGAAGAAAACCTGTTGTTGCATTCTTGCAAGCTTGCATTAGGGCTCACAGAACAGCAAATTTGCCATTTTCAGCCAAACCAATGTTACACCCTATTCAGAGACCTTAAGGACCAGCACCACATACCCTATATAATCATTCTATGACCCCTTTAAATGCAAGGTAAGTTGACTTATTATGGTCTAGTTCATACACAATGCAAAACATCAAATAACAGAAACAACGCCTAAGGTCATTGCAGAAAATAAGATTGCAGGTATAAAAGAGAAATAGTTTTAAACAATGGTTTAGTAAAATTGTTTGAGAAAACAAAAATGTTCTACAGGTGTGTAAATACTAAAGGTAGCATAGCATAGAATGCAGTCCAACCTGTTAGCTTTGTCTTTACCCATCAGTAAACACATTAAATGATCAAAATCATCAAAAGACATATTGTTTGTTCTGTCCCTAATTGTGCCAGATCTGCAAACCTCTTTCCATGTACGTTTTTGGAAGGTTTGATTTTCATCCAGCAGCAGCTTAGCAGGGCACGCTCACAGCAAAGGGGGGGTTGTCCTTCATCCCATGCTGCTGACAGCATAGGATCTTCAGGAGACTTTATCCTCCAGTCTGGCTCTGTAAGTTCTGAACCTCAATAGAAATGTGTTGCAAAAAGTCTATTTTGCAGTCTATTTTGTTTGGTTCTGAAAAGTCAACAATCATGACTTATCCTTGATCATTCTGGAGATCTGGGCCTTGAGCTGGGGTCTCCATTGTGGTTGCCTCTTCCGATGTGAACCCTCAGGCAGCTTTACGGAAAAGCGAACAACCTTGTGTGCTGCGGTCTTTGACTGTTCTCAACACAGAGAGGGGTGGCAAGTCACAGATCCGGGAGGGGTCCTGTGCAGCCAGTTGGCTGAGAGGGGGTTGCAGAGCAGAGAAGAGAGGTCTCACAGCTGTTTATGAGCAAAACTGCATGGAAACATGGACATTGGTTCTTAATGTCCGAGATTATTATCATGGTTTATGGCACAAAATGGTTTGTGAAGATCCATTTCTTTTCATATGCGGCTGATTGTTTTGGGTCAAGTTAAAATTAAAGATATTTTGGTGTTCAAACAGGAAAATGATACTGAAATACACATAAGAGCTGGCATTGGATTTGATAAAGCAGGAAGATTCCTTGATGGTTGCCCCAAGCTCCAAACGTAGTTGAATTAGAAGTTTGTTGACTGTTGTCAAAATCCTTGAATAGAAACAAGACAGTTTGACTTCAACCGAGATGATAAGGTATACACACAGGCAGAGTTATGACACAAGGTTTTGGAGGACTAAATAGTGTGCGGTTTTTGTGATTCTTGCTGGGGTACAACTCACCAAATATTATTCGGTGTGAAGTTCTTTATTTGACAATGTAAGTTTGATAGAGGTGATACAGTAGAAAACACATCCCCATAAATTCAAATCTTTTTTTAAATTTCAATAAGATTTTTGCAGAATCATTGAACTTTTATGGCCTATCTAGGGGTGGTAAGACAAGAACACCATACCTTTGCTGACCACCATCAGTAGGAACTGTGGGTGAAGTGTCTTGCCAAATGACACATCCTGACTGATGTGTCAGAGCTGGGGTTTGAACTGACAACCCACTTTTTTTGAAGAGCAAACTCCTGCATCTCCCACCCCAAAATAAAACTTTTAAGACCTTCAGAGAGCCAGAGGAACTGCTCATGAGGATTCAATGAGTAGATCTTTTTAGGTGTAATATTATTACTCTAAACAGGTCATTTTACATCATATGGCTTCTGACTTTTATTTGGCAAGTTTCTCACTGTTCTTTTCACTATCATCTTTTTTTTCTGCCCACCTTAATCCCTTCAGCCTTCACTCTCTCTGATTCTGACAACTTTCAAGCCCATCCCATGCTTCAACTGTCAGGCAGGGATTCATGGAGCGTGGGGGCAGTGGGGTAGCTGGGGCTGGATGAGTGAGATATCTCATTGCCTGAACATCTTGACTCAGAATTTATGCTGATGAAGACTGCTCTTGCCCTTCGGCAAACCTTCTGCCACTTCTTTCACTGGAGCATACAGTCCTGCCTCCTCTGCATGATTATGATCTCGCCACAGTCAACAGTCTCCTACTTTCTCTGTCCCTGTCCTTGTTAAGAGGACTTTGGGGCCACAATTATCTCATGAAAGTATTCTGCAATCACTGCTGGCTCATTCAGTTCCAGGTATATAGCGGGTATGATTAAAAAAAAAACCCACATGCAAAGATCTCAGAAATAATGACATTTTGCTTCAACATGAGAGACTACAGGAGGATAAGCTTTTTTACAAACCTGTAACAGAAATATCTAATTTGTCTTGAATGGTGCCAAAGACACGGACTCTCAACAACACTAATGGTAAAGAACACATTATCTTAGATGGTAAAGTGACTACAGGTGAAACATCACATGACACAACTCAGCCAAAGCATCACCATTTATATGTAGAGCTTGTGTTTGTTTTTGCAGCATATTTGCTGCTGTTAAGGGTGATTTAAAACAGATTAATTCATGTTTGTATGCACAGGGCGGATCTTGAAAAGGTGCAAAGTAGGACTGAATGACTTTGCCAAAAATAAAATAATTCAGTTTATTTATATATCGCCAATTCATAACACAAGTCATCTCAAGGCACTTCACAATTCAACCAGATCATCCAGTCAAATTGATTCAAAGTTTTCTATCTAAGGAAAACCAGTTGATTGCATCGACTCATTGACTTGAAGGTAATTCCGCACACTAAGCATGCTGTAGCGACCAAATAGAGGCAAAATTAACTTCCACCTCCAGCAGAACCAGAATCACCAGTGTGAGGGGCCATCTATCGAGTCCAACTGGAGACAAATACAGACATGAGTAAAGAAGCAGAGATACCAAAGGCAACTGTATAACCAGCTCCACAGGCGGCCACATCAAGGAAGCACACAGCCAGGCAAAAGAGCTCTGAGCCCATGTCAGAGGATGAAGAGAGCATCCAGCCAGTCACGGTCAGAGAAACAGGACCATACTGTAAAACAGGCCAAGCCCCAACATCTATAAACAAAGGTATTAGCAGCACAGCTGATGTTCCTCTCCAGGATGGTGTCACAGCATAACAGAAACACACCAGATGAAGCTACTATGAGAAAAAGCAGAGAGAGCAGAACATTAGAGATTGAACAAACAAATTCTGCAGAGTGGGTGAATAGAGATAGAATGAAGCAGAATTATGAAAAAAGGGTCCCTATGTCCTCCAGCAGTCTAAGCCTATAGCAGCATAACTATAGCGATAGTGCTTTCTTTCATAAAATTAGCAATTGTTCTTTTTCAAGTAATAATTGCCAAATTGTGATTTCTTTAATTTCCTTTCCTCTCTCTCTCTCTTTTTCTCTCTCTCTCTCTCTCTCTCTCTCTCTCTCTTCCCCTCTCTCTATGGTCATTTAGCCTTTCTCAATGATCAAAAGATTGCGAAAAGCTCTTGGTGAGAAATAACTGTTACTCTTGTGGTATTGAAGATATAGAGAGAAAACGTTGTTTTCTGCTTCAGCTACTTTCTACTACTTGCAATGTAGTGTTATATTCATGCAGTCTGTACCTTAGGGGCCACTTAGAGTCGCACATAAACTTGAGTACAATGTGATGAAGTCATCAACTTTTCATGTGTCTCATTTCAGCGTGGAACATTGTTGAATTAAGTATACTGTTAAAAACAAAATAAGGGAACACCCAAATAACTCAACCTAGATCCGAATGAATTAAAATTTCTCTGCATATATGTATTTTATTTCTCTTATTTATATGCAAATTGATTTTTATGCACACCAGACAATATTGTCATTAAGTGCATTCTAGCAACCTGAGCACCATCATTTACTTCCAATACTGATGAGCTGCAACAATCCATTACAGTTAAAGGTCCTAAAATACTTTTTTATTTAAGTAATTTAGCTTTTCAGTGGTGCATAATGTTATGTTAGCATTTTTTTTTTCCTGTAAGGCTTTCTATTTTCAGTAAACAACTATAAATCTCTTAATAAATTAATGTAGAATTTGAAATCAGATGCAATTTTGTTAATGTTATACCATGTTTGGTAATCTGCTCTATAACAAGCGGCATAGGCTGAATTACTAGTAATATAAGAACGAGGCAGGAGAACACAATGTGATGCAATTTTTTTTTTTTTACATTTCCAACATAAAATATGTTAAATTGATTTCTTTTTTATTCATTTGAAATTAATGTAGAGCCGTTTTTTTTAAATAAATTAATGTAAGACGGAACTGAATTTAATATTTTTCTTTGTTCTGTCTTTGTTTTAGCATCTTACAGCCAGATATGGGGAAAAAGTCAAAGTACAAGACCTCGGTGAAGAAAAAGACTCTCAATCCTGAATTTAATGAGGTAATGTTTCCCTCTTGATGTAAAATGCACACCTGTCTACTCTTGATTTCCCCGCTGAGCTCTGGGCAATCTGCAGCATACAGCAAGAGCATCGCTTATAAAACCTCTTTTCTCTTAGCATCAGTCTTACAAGTTTTTAACAAAAATTTGCTAAAATAAGCTTCTTTTATTTTATGTTTCCTAGTCACTGATTTGAATCCTCTTTCATGCATGCCACCTGCACAGGAATTTTCATATGAAGTAACCTTGGACCAGCTGGCAAAGAAAACCCTGGAGATCTCTGTGTGGGACTATGACTTGGGAATGAGCAATGACTTTATAGGTAAGCATTAAGACCATTCAAAGGGAAAATCTGCAGCGGCAGCAAAGACTATGACTATGTTTAGATGAAAGCGGAGCATCTGTAAAAAAAACTTTAAAACCTTTAAAACCAGGCCAAGAGTAGGTATAAAGAGGGATTAAAAATTGAGGAGATATGAGGGATAATTATGAGGCTTGAGGGAGCAATTGAATGGGGAGTGAGAAAATCTAAGAGGAAAAGGAAATGAAGATGAGAAATCAAAAAGCTGGATGAATGTCTCTGGATCCTTATTCGCCATAAATCTAGCCAATCAGAAGCTTATAGCTTAATCAGGCTGCTAAAAATGTTGGCCTGTAGCAATAAGTCAGCGTTGGAGCTATTAGTGCTGGAAAATGTATTGACAATAAATCACCATTACATTTTAACTGAAAGGCCTTCATATCAACCCATTTTACTTTAACTCATTTGTCTCTTATATCAGTGGGAATTGTTTACGGTACGGGTGTGGGTTGGTGTCAAATGCGTGTTTGGAAAAGGCCACTGAGTTACAACTCTGCGAGGGGTAAAGGCCATCAATGCAGCATACATCACTTCCCATAACTGCTTTCATGACAGCAGCTTGCTTGTTCGGTTAATTAGGGCTAAGTGAAAAAAAGCACCAAGACAAAATAAAGTATAGATTCAAGGTTGTTAAAGAGAGCAGCACTACTCCCACTGTAGCAGGGGCAGTTAGCCTGAGAGCAATGGGAAACACAGTGTGCCTATGCACAGGACAAAACAGAACTAAATAAGAGGTGAGGTTTAAGCATCAGAACAGGTAAAAAGGGATCAAAATGATCTCATTATAGAAAGGTTTAGCATAGGTAAAAAAATACAATATCACATAATTTAATTAGCATCTGATTTTAAAAGAATGCAAAGAACAAGAGCAACATTTTTGAAACTATAACTTTCTCCGTAATAAATAGAAATTTCATTCATGGCGCTTCCAGATAGGAAAAAGACATCAGCTGTGTTCAATTACTGCAACAACCACCTGTGCCAATGAGCTACAAATGAACACAGTGGCAGTTTGAAAGCAGACCACAGTACCCATTGCTTCCGATGTGAAACCTCAAAGTAATTAAAGTTATATCTGGTTGGTTTTTCTGCATGCCAAAATAATCTCCTGTGGAAGATCTAGGCTAAGATATTAGGCCATTTTCTTTTAAAGAAAACATTTTGTCTTGCATAAAGTCCTCCAGAGCCTTGAGGAGTGACGTTTTATGAATTGTTAAAAGTAAACATAACCTTCTGGGTCATAATTTCAAATAGTATATTTGACACAAAAAAAAAAGAAATGCGTTATCAATGGATAAAAAGCTGTAAATGTTGAGATTTTATCTACAGTAAATCTTTCTTTCCTGCAATTCTGACAGAAAATATGTAGGCTCACCAGAAAAAAGTGGAGAATATAAGTGAAAGCAGAGATTGATCCAAAAGATACTTCAACACCGCAAGCCCTGGAAGCAGCAAAAACTCACTATCTGTTTCATTTTTTATGCTTGTCCACATTAAGTTCAGACATCCAGTAAAGGGTGTCCAGATGTATCTGATGCTTTTGCTGCTCCTGCGTTCAATGGCGGAAAGGGGCTTTGCTAAATTTGCTGTGATCAGTGGGTAAAAAGTAGTTTTAATATATTTTTAGGTGAGAAAGTCTACCTGAAAGTCTGTGCAGTCAGTTTACAAAGATTACGATACTGCCTCAAAATATTATTTCGCTGTCGGACCAGCACTAAACCCGCATACATCAGCGGTGCATTGTCCCTGGAAATCTTCAAAAGCAGCCTCTGGCCCCGTCGCCTCTTACTGGTTTTCCACTAGTGTTTGTGGTGGCTGGAAGGAGATGTTAGCAGCTTTCACGTACGTAATCCAAACTATAGGTGCCAGAATAATAAAAGCTGAAATATTATGCCGGCAGATTTCGATATTTTAAGTGAATTTAGGCATTAATAAACTGTTTCAGGGGAGTGATAATAGCACTCTGCGTATGCAGTATTGTGTCTTGCTCCCCGCCAGCTCCCAGATCAGCTTCTCTAATTGGTTGATGCGGCGTTGAGCATAAACAGTTAAATTTTTCCAACTCCAGCAGGTGCTGCTTGTGAAGAGCATCAGACGCCACTCCTGCTGCTCAAAACACGCTGCAAGACCTTTTCATGTGCCTTAATGTGTATCAAACATTGCCTTTGTTTATAAAGCAGCTGCTTCTGCTGCTTCAGCATTGTGCGGTCTGAACGTAGCATGAGAGTCATGTTTTTGGACTGTATGAGGAAGGGTTAGGGTTAGGGTTAGTACCCGGAGAGAACCCACCCATGCACAGGGAGTGAGGTATGCAGTGGATGTGTGTGTTTACTTGGTCTGTTTTATAAATAACCCTTGAATAGGTTTGAGAGTTATACTTGGAGGAAAAACTTGAAGCCCAACTGGAAACTCTTGCTTTTAAATAGAATTGAAGGGTCTCTGTTTTGTTAGGCTATTCATTTAGTTCTCTCTCTGGATTTGTTGTATAGCAGGGAAGCCCCTTATATGACTGATTAATGAGTTTGAAGGAAGTGTTTCTTTTCTGCAAGTTTTAATCAAGTCAAACATTAAGGGCCTATGTATCCTTACATAATTCAAATTGCAGCAAGAAAGTTATTCATCTTTTATAATCAGTTCAGTTCAGAATTACTTAAATAATACTTAGGGAAAGTTAGATATTGTTGTAACAAATACTATAAGCACATCAAGTTGTAGATATTGATAACTAGGCAGGAAGGATCACAAATGGCAGCCTGTCTTACAAGGAGAAGCCTCTGACTGAACATGCTGAAGTTCTACAGCGGTCTGTCTGATGAAGAGGATGTTTAAGGTTGTTTAATAATGTTCTTCGATTAAAAAATAAATAATAAAACCTTTTTCACAAAATCCACCAAAAAAGTGTATGTAGAGCATGTAGTGTCCTATTTAATAGCTGGTTGAGTTTCTTTATTATCACTATTCTGCTGCTCTCCATGAATGATATGAAACATCTTGCATCAAACACAGAAAGACCAAAGCCTTCAGCTCTATCCTTTAGATAACCGGATTGTTTGAATCCTAGGCGGAAAATATGTACAGGAAAATATTATTTTAAGTAAAATATGTGAGGACATCAGGTTTTAAGATGCTTTTAATTACTGTGCATTACTGTTATCTGTATCCGGATCATCTCCTCTTCCTTGGATACATATCTCTTCTTTCCTGTCTTCTTCAAGCAGTGTCAGTATGGCTAACCATTTATCTGTCTGTAGCACCTTGCAGGGTGGGAAAACACCTAATCGATGTGGGGGCAGCAAGTGTTGTTATTCAATGGAAACTGGTTCTGGACTGTGAACTATATGACGCTTAGAGGCTGCTTCTATGGTTCCTGCAGGAGTATCTTGGCAGCAATAAGATCTGTCACAGATCATCCATCAAACCTTGTTTTCTCATGGCTGTCATTTTCCAAAGCTCCGTTGAAAGTCGAAATTCCCAAAAGCCTCTTTTTTAACCCGCAGCTCTTCCCATGGCTGTGCAGGCAGAGCTTTGTAATAACCTCGGTGTAACAACTGCCTGCATCTCCCTGCTCTATACTCATCAGGATGGTGTTTTATCTAGAGTTATCTTTCATCTAATTCTCCAGCTGCGCTTCAGTTTCTCTGAGCCTGTTTTTTTTTCCGTCTTGAGTCTTTGGCTTACATCTATTTCAGCTTCAATAAGAGTGTCTCACTTTCAGTTCATTACCATGAATGCTGACAAACAGTACATGTATACTGTATTAATCATCCATGGAGCCTCGATAGCTTCATCCGTTGGATTTTGAAGTGCTGTTTTGTCCCCTCCTTTTCAGCTTTCAGGTCTGGCCATGTTTCTGGAGCATAATGTGGCGATATTTGAGAAGACAGACAGAGAGTCTAACCTTTAAACACCTTTAAAGTGTTTAAAAGGGCAACAGCAATAGCAGTTCACTAATCGCAATCTAAATAACAAAAATGTAATGATTAATGAAAAAAGAAATGATTCATGAAATTTTTTGAAGGATGCTGGTATTTTTGAAGGATCTGTCAAAAAGAACAATAATAAAATATATTATATAGCTTATAGCTCTATATTGATTACAGGCGTGAAATTGGATAGCTCAATCTTTTAATATGTTCTTTGGCTCTATATGTTCTTTGGTCTGTGCCAAGAAGCTGTGTCCAACATCGTAATGTCCTGGGGTTGGAGGTGCTACCAGGAGACAGTACAGTACCAGTAGTAGACGTGGAGGAGGGGTCAGGACAATAACCCAGGCTACATCTGCCTTTGTGCAAGGAGGAACAGGAGGAGCACTGCCAGAGCCCTGCAAAATTACATCCAGCATACAACAAATGTGTGTGTGCCTTACCAAACAGTTGGAAAGGATTGTATGAGGGCCCGACTTCCACATCTGGGGGTTTTGCTCTGTGATTAGCAAATTCGCCACTGGCACCCTGTGCCCTTCATGGATGAAAGCAGGTTCAAATTGAGCACATGTGTCAAACATGACAGAGTCTAGAGACACAGTGGAGAGTGATCTGCTGCCTGCAACATCCTTCAGGTTTAGCAGTGGGTCAGTAATGGTGACTGTCCAGGAGTTGGCGGATGCTTTAGTGCAGGTGTGGGAGGAGATCCCTCAGGAGACTATCCTACACCTCATCAGGAGCATGACCAGCCATTGCAGGGAGGTCACACACAATACTGAGCCTCATTTTGACCTGTTTAAGAATATTACATAAAAATTTGATCAGGCTGTAGTTTACCTTTAATTTTGTGTATGACTCCCAAATCCAGGCCTACACCATTTAAAACATGTGATTTCCATTGGGGATTTGTGTGATTTTATTGTCAGCACATTCAGCTTTACTGCCACACACTTCATGATGGTCTAATTCTCAATTAAACCTTGATATTTCTGCTTACATAAAAAAAAAACTGCTTACACAGATAACCCTATAAAGTCAAAGATCCCAAACTAAAATTCAGCTTGAGTAAATTTTATTTTGTTTTTTTATTTATAAATTCCTGTAATACTATCGGGGAGCCCCTGTTTCATTGAAGAGACTGTAAATATTACAATATTTGCTGTATTGGCACTATCTGAAGCAAAGACATATTGTACAATGACAGCAATTTCCGAATACAACAACAAGAGAGTTTGTGTTCCTAAAAGACAAATTTGCTATGTGTAAAGAAAGTTGTTAAGTATGCAGAATAATTTCCAACCATCACTCTTCACTGGCACACAGCAGCAGCTCCTCTGTGACTGAGCTTATTCTTGTAACATCCACTTTACTGTATGTAGCACTGACAGAATATGTTTGACATAGATGATGGTGACATTTTTAATCATTATAAGTCATTAAGATTTCAGTGGCGACAAATAGTTACTAATATACATGAAAATATAAAATTTGTACTGCAGCTTACATAGTAGAAACACCGTTTAGATAATAAGGAGCTTCAAAATGCCTTGTTCTGTGAAACAAAATATAAACCAGTCTCAGTAACAAAAAAACATATAAACCAGGAATGAGGGGATTACATTAGGAAGTTACCAATTACTCTTTGCTGTGGTAATGAGCTTGGATCATCATGAACACTCATGCTCCAATACCCCTCTGTTTTTCATACATTTACTGTAAAGAAGGGCATATATTTCAGACAACCTGTCAACCTTTTCAAGGTGCAATTTCATGAGGCATATACACGATGTAAACGCTGCCACTACTCACTGGACTATTTAACCGAGCTTCTGGGCTCCTTAGGTTTCAAAGCACCAAAATGATAAATAGTGAAAAGAGGTTGACAAGTTTGAATTGCTTCCTCAGTAAACGAAGCAAAGAAATATTTGCTTTCCCAGCAAATGAAGCGCATGCATAGGTGCAATTGCTTGTTGGCTGCCACCTGTATGCGGTTTGGTGGAATCAAAGTGTAAGAATCTGATATTGCCTGGGAACAGAAGTACCATATTTATAGTGTCATTTTTCCTGTTCACCTGCTCGATAGCCCAAATCTACACCTGCTTTCAGTAGCTCTGACAGTCCGGCCCTTTTGTATGTGATAGAATTTAGGTCCATCTAAATGGTATCTGTTTAAAAAAAACTATAGAGACAAAACCTAAGGTCTAATATTGGTTGGTCCTTCTAACTCCTTTATTTGATAGTGGACTTATCCAGGGCAGTACTTCTGTTGTCACGGTGCCTCTACCACAATTATAAAACACTGGCCCCCAAGCCTAGAACCGACACTGCTGTATATCAGTGTCGGTTCTAGGCTTGGGGGCCGATAAATAAGATCCTAATAGTTAGACAAAGGTTATTTTTACGCTTGGCAGAGGATGATCAGTCACATAGTTTATTAAGTAGCGATGGAAGAGCTATATTGCTGAGAGCGAAGCATTAGAGTGGAGCGTGAAGCGTAGACTTCTGCAGAAAGACGCATTTCTGCACAGGCACAGAGGGAAGATCAGAGCAGTGTGTCAGAGTTCAACCTACAGGTGCTGGTCATAAAATTAGAATATCATGAAAAAGTAGATTGATTTCAGTAATTCCATTTAAAAAGTGAAACTTGTATATTATATTCATACATTACATACAAACTCATATATTTCAGATGTTTATTTTGTTTAATTTTGATGATTACAAATGACAACAAATGAAAATCTCAAATTCATCATATCAGAAAATTAGAATATTGTGAAAAGGTTCAAAATTGATGGCCCCTGGTGCCACACTCTAATCAGCTAATTAACTCAAACCACCTGCAAAAGCCTTTAAATGGTCTTTCAGTCTAGTTCTATAGGCTACACAATCATGGGGAAGACTGCTGACTTGACAGTTGTCCAAAAGACGACCATCGACACCTTGCACAAGGAGGGCAAGACACAAAAGGTCATCGCTAAAGAGGCTGGCTGTTCACAGAGCTCAGTGTCCAAGCACATTAATAGAGAGGCGAAGGGAAGGAAAAGATGTGGTCGAAAAAAGTGTACAAGCAAGAGAGATAACCGCACCCTGGAGAGGATTGTGAAACAAAACCCATTCAAAAATGTGGGGGAGATTCACAAAGAGTGGACTGCAGCTGGAGTGAGTGCTTCAAGAACCACCACACACAGACGTATGAAAGACATGGGTTTCTGCTGTCGCATTCCTTGTGTCAAGCCACTCTTGAACCACAGACAGCGTCAGAAGCGTCTTGCCTGGGCTAAAGAGAAACAGGACTGGACTGCTGGTGAGTGGTCCAAAGTCATGTTCTCTGATGAAAGTAAATTTTGCATTTCCTTTGGAAATCAAGGTCCCAGAGTCTGGAGGAAAAGAAGAGAGGCACTTCATCCACGTTGCTTGAAGTCCAGTGTAAAGTTTCCACAGTCAGTGATGGTTTGGGGTGCCATGTCATCTGCTGGTGTTGGTCCATTGTGTTTTCTGAGGTCCAGGGTCAACGCAGCCACATACCAGGAAGTTTTAGAGCACTTCATGCTTCCTGCAGCTGACCAACTTTTTGGAGATGCAGATTTCATTTTCCAACAGGACTTGGCACCTGCACACAGTGCCAAAGCTACCAGTACCTGGTTGAAGGACCATGGTATCCCTGTTCTTAATTGGCCAGCAAACTCTCCTGACCTTAACCCCATAGAAAATCTATGGGGTATTGTGAAGAAGAAGATGCAATACACCAGACCCAACAATTCAGAAGAGCTAAAAGCCACTATTAGAGCAACCTGGGCTATCATAACACCTGAGCAGTGCCACAGACTGATCGACTCCATGCCACGCCGCATTGCTGCAGTAATACAGGCCAAAGGAGGCCCAACTAAATACTGAGTGCTGTACATGCTCATACTTTTCATGTTCATACTTTTCAGTTGGCCAACATTTCTATAAATCCTTTGTTTTTATTGGTCTTCAGTAATATTCTAATTTTCTGATATGATGAATTTGAGATTTTCATTTGTTGTCATTTGTAATCATCAAAATTAAACAAAATAAACATCTGAAATATATGAGTTTGTATGTAATGTATGAATATAATATACAAGTTTCACTTTTTAAATGGAATTACTGAAATCAATCTACTTTTTCATGATATTCTAATTTTATGACCAGCACCTGTATTTATAAAAAAAAATAAAAAGTCTGGACGTTATACATGCCATTATTAAGGTTGGGCAAAACAATACTTGTTAAAAAGAAAATAAATAAATTAATTAATTAATAAATAAATAAAAATAAGTAAAAAAGGAAAGAATAGATAAATAAAAAATAAATAAAAAATGAAATATATGCAAATTAGCCATTTAAACTTATTGTTCATACTAAAACGGGCAGTCTCTGTTAGTTCTGCACATCCATCATAACCCTGTGTCCCCGTGTGTGTGCAGGCGGAGTGGAGCTGGGCATCAATGCGACGGGACAGAGACTCAGACACTGGTTCGAGTGTCTGAAAAACAAAGGAAAGAAAGTGGAATACTGGCACACGCTCACGCAGCAGGGAGCCCCAAGCAGCGACAAGCCGGACTAGACTCCCCAAGACATTCCCACAGACAAAGGCACACCACACAAGCACAGATGCGTTTGTCTTACCCAAGCGATGGTTGACAGAGTCCAACAAAAGCAGCAGCGATTAACCTAAACAAAGAAGAAAAGATGCAATAATAACAAGGATACAAATCTAAATTGTCATGTGTTACCACTAATTGAGGCACAACGTATTAGTATATATTCATACCAATCTCGGTGATGGTGACAAGGTATGATCTGAATCTGTTTATTTTTCTAGGTAAACAAAATTGTGATGATGTCTTTGTTGAAGTGTTGCCGTACCAAAACATTACACTAGAAATTGTGCTCAGATCTCACCGTATCGTAGAAGCTGAAACATCTTCATCGAAATTGACATCTAACCAACAGATCGGAGGCTCATCCCGTTAAAGTGCCCAAATATTTGTACATTTTTGTGACTTCTTATATGGTACATAGTTCCAGGAGTTACAGGATGCTGCTAAAAAAAAAATCTCTTATTTGAAGTAGTTGCTGTCGATCTGATGCAAAACAAGACACCATATTATTATGATGTAAAGCACAAAATGATCCATTCGGTGGATTTGTACCTTTACCTTCAGTGTTGCGTCTTTTTCGTTATTTGTCTATGGCAGTGGTGTTTTAGCACCTATGTGTCAGGCAGTAATGTGTCTGCATTTTATGTGTGTGTGTGAATGTTTATGTATGTGTGTGTGGGAGTTTTGATACGAGTGCCTACATTTTCTGTATGTCCAATATGAGTCTGTCTGTATTCTCCTCACGCCCCCATTCAGAATGTTTCCATTCGACTTCAGGAGCACCGAGGTGTGAAGAAATATTGACGAAAGGCAACAATGGTTCATTCAATGGAGAAATCCTCTGTAACCACCTAAGGCCTTGGTGTTGTGAAAACCCCTTGGGTGCAGAATAATTACAAAAAGCTGTTGTGTGAACCAGACAGTCTTCTAGCCTGAGAAAACCCCACAATATGATAATGCTCTTATTTTTTTTTTTATAAGAAGCAGACCTTCTATTTTGCTTTTGGATGCTTTGCTTGCATATTTTAAGTTGTTACAGAACCACTGAAACAAATTTTAGACGGTGTAAAGAAAAGATACAGCATGTCAGTGATTCTGGTTCTGCTCTAATAAAATACAGTGCTGGTGCAAAAGATTTTTAGCACGGCAAAGTGTTTTATTCATAAAAAGTGATCAGATTTGGTCTGGCTGTTTGATTTCTGTTAAAAAAAAGCAGCCTGGAGCCTGAAAAAAATCTTTTAACTCCCTTTTGCATGCCATTCTTTTATAGACATTTGCCTGAATCATAGATGCATTGATCCTCTGGGTAAGAGAGACAGAAAATCCTTGTCTGTCAGACACCTCACAGCCTACTAAGATTATCAGCACAGTTGGCTGAAGTGCAGACTTATATACACACATACATTTACCATATATATACTTATATACACACACACACACACACACACACATATATATATATATACATATATATATATATATATATATATATATATATATATATATATATATATATATATATATATATATATATATATATATATATATATATATATATATATATATATACATATATATATATACACTCACCGGCCACTTTATTAGGTACCCCATGCTAGTAACGGGTTGGACCCCCTTTTGCCTTCAGAACTGCCTCAATTCTTCGTGGCATAGATTCAACAAGGTGCTGGAAGCATTCCTCAGGGAGTTTGGTCCATATTGAAATGATGGCATCACACAGTTGCCGCAGATTTGTCGGCTGCACATCCATGATGCGAATCTCCCGTTCCACCACATCCCAAAGATGCTCTATTGGATTGAGATCTGGTGACTGTGGAGGCCATTTGAGTACAGTGAACTCATTGTCATGTTCAAGAAACCAGTCTGAGATGATTCCAGCTTTATGACATGGCGCATTATCCTGCTGAAAGTAGCCATCAGAAGTTGGGTACATTGTGGTCATAAAGGGATGGACATGGTCAGCAACAATACTCAGGTAGGCTGTGGTGTTGCAACAATGCTCAATCGGTACCAAGGGGCCCAAAGAGTGCCAAGAAAATATTCCCCACACCATGACACCACCACCACCAGCCTGAACCATTGATACAAGGCAGGATGGATCCATGCTTTCATGTTGTAGACGCCAAATTCTGACCCTACCATCCGAATGTCGCAGCAGAAATCGAGACTCATCAGACCAGGCAACGTTTTTCCAATCTTCTATTTTCCAATTTCGATTAGCTTGTGCAAATTGTAGCCTCAGTTTCCTGTTCTTAGCTGAAAGGAGTGGCACCCGGTGTGGTCTTCTGCTGCTGTAGCCCATCTGCCTCAAGTTCGACGTACTGTGCGTTCAGAGATGCTCTTCTGCCCACCTTGGTTGTAACGGGTGGTTATTTGAGTCACTGTTGCCCTTTTATCAGCTCGAACCAGTCTGGCCATTCTCCTCTGACCTCTGGCATCAACAAGGCATTTCCGCCCACAGAACTGCCGCTCACTGGATGTTTTTTCTTTTTCGGACCATTCTCTGTAAACCCTAGAGATGGTTGTGCGTGAAAATCCCAGTAGATCAGCAGTTTTTGAAATACTCAGACCAGCCCTTCTGGCACCAACAATCATGCCACGTTCAAAGTCACTCAAATCACCTTTCTTCCCCATACTGATGCTCGGTTTGAACTGCAGGAGATTGTCTTGAACATGTCTACATGCCTAAATGCACTGAGTTGCCGCCATGTGATTGGCTGCTTAGAAATTAGGTGTTAACGAGCAGTTGGACAGGTGTACCTAATAAAGTGGCCGGTGAGTGTATGTGTATATACAGGATAAAGCAAAAAGGGGGCTACTAATACAGAAATAACACTTTTCTCCAGAAACAATTATCTGGTTGGGTAAAATTTAGAAATTTTTTTTTTCAACCAATGCAACTTATTGTCACATTTTTGCATGAATACTTTAAAACTGTGAAATCGTGGTACTAAATAGGATTTAATTTGAAATTTTAAGCCTATGACACTAACCCCTATATTTTGCTAGGATTTTTTGCCATGTTTTTACATCTTGTTTACTTAATATAGATTTGGTAATAGATGGTTTTAGTGGTATGTATGTGTTTAGCAAACATCCAGTAGGTTTTATAAAAACACTTACATTCAGGCTGACTTTTCATTCCCTCTGCACTTTTGATAGCATAGCAATGTTGATAGCTTCCTTTTTCTCTCTTTTCTACATTGCAATGCCTTTTCCTCCTTCTATTTTGATTCAGGTTTAAATTATCTTAAATACATCAATTATTTAAAAACCTAATTGTTGATATATTATTACTCTGCTTTCGCCATGCTCAGGGTCGTCTTTTGATTTCAATAATTTCTATATTATTGCCAACTGCTAATTAAAGAAATATACACAATACTGTTTAATTTGGATGCCATCTCTATATTTGTTTAATATCCATATTAATAAGAGTGAAACCTAAAATCTTAAATGTTATGAAGCGTTTCCCTAATAACTCCATACACCTATGGTATGTGGTTTGCTAAAAACAAATCTCCACATAAAATGTGTTTTTTCATTGTCTGAAACTATGAAGATATCAAATGTGAACCGTTGCTTCTGTCATGAAATCTTCGATCATGCATAAAAATTTTAAAAAGCCCTGTCAGTCAGTTGCCTTGGGGATATTTCCAACTGATAATCGATCCAGCTGCTCATATCCTGTCCTGTCCTTCAACAACCTTGGGATCCCTTTACTATTAAATCGTGTTCAACCTCAAAAAGGGCTTGGGTATTATGAAGATCAAGGAGGCTTAACCAAATATTCAATTACATCTTTAATAACTTTTGGAAATGGATTAGGCAAATCTGGCGGGTTTGTTGTGTATTTTTCTCTATGCACGTTTAACCGTCCCAGCACGGCAGCAGTAAGATAATCAACCCAAACAGACAGATTATGTTATTTCTGGGAATACTCCACACTTTGTTTACTTCAAGACTGGGTAATAGAGATCAAATGGAGTTCATGTTTCTAGCCGGATGGTTGCTTATTTTGAGAGATCTCTTGCTTGATTGTTTACAGTTGCAGAATTTTCAGGCTCCTGTCTATTGACCCCCGCTTTGCTTATGTAATCATGTATCTGCAATACAGCTGCATGTTTAGCAATTACCATCAGCTTGCATAATAGAGTGCAACTCTGGCTGATCTTTTTGAATACTGATGTGTTTACAGTCTGTGCAATCCATGCAGTGTTTTCTGTTTGTGAAAAAAGCTTATTCAGGGTAATTTTTTGCTCGGTTGCTGTGCTCAACAAAGCGAGAGTTTGCTTTAAAAAAAAAAAATCCTTTACTGTCTCAGACTTTAACACTTGTCTTCCTTGAGTTGAAATCAGTGGTTATTATGCAGGAGGGCTGATGAGGATGAGATGTGGAGTCTCTGTGTGTTTAATGTCATTGTCAATCCCACAGTATGGCTGCCATCCTGTGTTGGGTTTGTGTAACTACTGCAAAATAAAATGAAACTGTTGTGGTGGGCTTCTGTCTTCAAGTGTCACATGACCCTTAGCTTTTTTTTAACTCTTTAAAGGATCAGTTTAACATTTGCAACTGTTTTGTCAGTGTCATTTCTGCTCTAGATATATTTTTTCATACCTTCATTTGATATAAACCCAGATTAGTTCCTCCTAGAGGACTGAAAACCAAAACAGGCATCATAAGCCTCTTTAATTATGGGTAAAACCATCATAGATGGAAGTAGAAGCCAGTGTGCCACAGAAGTGTATAAGCACAGATAGTGGAAGATGTAAAGCTTCTACAATCTAATTTAAAATTATACATGTTTTTATTATTTTAAACAATCTAATTTCAGGTATATTTTCTTCACATTAAAAAGGAAAAATTCTCCAAAAGAAGAGAAATATAGATTCTCAGGCCTTTTGAAAGGCCCCATTAGCTAGGGGTATAATGTTAGAACTCTTACCTTTACAATGAGCTCAACATGAGCTACTTTTGGATTTTCTCAGATCTTTTTTCCATATTTATCTAAGCTATTGTTGCTTCAGTCATTTTGTAAAAGGTCTTCATTTTGCTATACAATCTTGTCAGATATCAATGCTACTTGTTTTTAGATTGATCCATGCACTTCCTGCCATTTTAAACAGCATTGCACAAGTTAAAAGGTTAAATATAATGCATTTTCTTCCCCATGTCCATATCATTGCCAGGTGTGTAAAAAGATTTTTCCTATATTTAGTTGCTCCATCAAGGCCACTATGCATACTCAACAAGAAGAATAATCTTTTTTCCTGTTCTAAAGGTGGCAAGATAAACTCAAACTATTTGAGAAGTTCATCTCTCAAACCCGCAAAAAAGTCCCGTCTACTGTAGCTTATGTCACTAGCAAAATTCTTGTGCACCAATTGCGCGGACATGCTGCACGGAAAAAGTTCTACCCAGAGTTTTAACAGATATTGGGGCAGCTTTTAGCTCAGATCTACAGTGGGGCTTCTTTTTGCTAAAAATGTAATATGGCCCATTCAAAATAATCTCAATGTTTATAACTTTCTTACCTAAAAGGGCAAAAACAAATACAGTTGCGGCAGCAGAGCAGGAAAACTTCTATAAAACCTCTAAAGCTCCTTTTCCCTTTTTCACAAGACCAAAATGTATCTAAATGAATCTAATCTCACTTATAAGTTTTTGTCTAAAATATTTGTTGATGAAAAAGTTAGTTATTATTTGAAACAACGGGTCAAAAATAAATATTGCTTGGGTCTCATAAGGCTGTTGAAATCAACTATAGTAGAAATAGTTTTCCAGCAAAATCAAAATCTTGTATGATATATTTTATAACCTAGTCATAACTATAAAAGGAGAAAACATAAGTCCGGCAGCGATTATTTTATCTGTAATTTCCATTTATTTGTCTTGAGTGCACAGGATAAAACATAAATGCACATTGAACTGAATCATGTTTCAGGGAAACACAAAACTGATGCTAATGTCATTGATTGACTTTTAACTCTTTGACAAGCATATTCCATTTATCATTTGTTTTCTGTCAGTTTTCCTCACTCCTCTTCTTCTTCCTATACCTCCATCACTCGACCGATGAAGAGTGGCACGTCAGCACGGTCGCTCCACACCAGCATGATGAAAGGCCGGAGGGCATTGAAGGTAGGGAAGGAGCGAGAGAACGCTAAGCTGCTAGCGGCACTAGCCTCAACTCCTCGTTCGGTCAGGGCCATGAAGGCTTTGTGTTTGGCCTCGTCCAGAACGAGATCACTGTTTGAGGAAAGGCCACACAGCCTTGCTCCCTCAAAAAGGGATGACAAGCCTGGTTAGAGGCAGAGGGAGAAAAAGTAGGATCACTTACAGACAGATCAACGAGCAGAAGAAGTAACATTTTCTTCAAATAGTCTAACTATGGCTAAAATAAAAATGAGATGGCAGACCAATGAAAGGAAATTTGAAGATAAGCAAACCTAATTTCCTGATGAGGTTGTTCATGTTTGTCTCCACATCCAGCTTGATTTGGGGAAGTGAGACCTCTGTGGTCTGAGGAGAGACTGTTTGTAGCTGGTTTATCATCAGACGTATATTCACGTCTGTCATCCTCTCCTCTACCTGCTGCAGGGCAGACAGTGTGTTGGCATTTGGCAGCAGGATGTAGAGACTGTTGTCACCTGAGAGAGCAAACCTTGCCACCTGTGCACAAAATAAAAATCTGTCAAGTCCTTTCTGACATTGTGACGGCAAATTTACGTAAAACATGATAGAAGTGCAGATTAACATCAGAAATAACAAACAGGGTCAAAGCAAGAGCTGACCCTTATCAGCCTTAAATTAAACAAATAAAATATCCATATGTCTCTAGTGTTGGGTATTTAGCTTCACATTATAAAAAAATAACTTATTTAGCCAATATAAACAACTACAAACACCTTCTAGCTGCATTTCGAGATCAATTACTTATTGAATACATCATGTGATGCTAACATACAGTCACTCCCTAATGTGACTGTGGGTGGTTTTTGGCCTGGAGTTGATGTCATCAGACGGTGCCCAACCTTCGCAGGGTGTTTCGACCCTTAACCGCTACACCCTCCAGCTGGCGGGTCAGCAGTGGTGGCCAGGTCACTGCCCATCATCTCCAGGCCTCCAGCCCCCCTCCTCCCTCTTAAACCACAACCAGCATGAGGCTCTCTCTGCTGCCTCCCCAATCCTGCGCACAGCTGTCTTCCTCTCCTTGCCAGATATTCCAAGTGCAGTGAGCACAGACCACATTGACTGTGCTGGGAATCCTCTGCATCCGACCTCCACTGGAAACAGCCATGCTTGCCAGCCTTTGTCTTTGCAGTCCATGATGAGGTCTTGGTATTTTAGGTTCTTCCTCTCATGGGCCTCCTCACAGCCTTCCTCCCAAGGCACAGTCAGTTCCACCAGGATGATCTTTTTGGCTTGCTCTGACCAGATGACAATGTCAGGCCTCAAGGTGGTCTGGACGATGGGTGGGAAAGTGAGCTTCTTCCCCAGGTCGACTTTCATCTCCCACCCCTGTGCCCCCTGGAGGATGTTGGTTCTGGCTCTTTTATTAGAGAGTGGCTTTTCTCCTGCCCTGATGAATTGCATTGATGGTATTTGCAGCTTAATTGGCTGTGGTCTTCTCCTAGCCTGCTCGAAAATGTCAGCCATCACTCGAAGCACTTGGTCATGCCGCCACCTATATCTCCCCTGGGCCAGAGCGATTTGGCACCCTGCTAAAATGTGGGCCAGTGTCCCCTTCTTTCTGCACAACTTGCAGAGCGGGTCCTCCCTCAAGCCCCACCTGGCTAAGTTCGCTGGTGATGGAAGCGTGTCATACACGGATCTCAGGAGGAAGCTAACACGGAAAGGTTCCAGCCTCCAGAGCTCAGTCCATGTGACCCTTCTGTTTGGGAGGTCCCATCTGGTCCATGTTCCCTGGGTCGCCAGCTCCACAGCCTTAGCCCTCCTTTTCTCCTCCTCCTGGTGACGAACTTCCACTTGTACCATCTCCCGCTTCTGCTGGACGCTTGCCTTCCTCCACCGTGTGAAGTGAGATGTTCCCAGTCCTTGTCGACCAATGCAGACACTACCGATGATGTCTCTCAACTCCAGGGAGCTCTCAGCTTGTCTGACTGCAGTGTCGGCTGCCCACTTACGGCCTGTTCGTGTTGTGACTCCTGCATTGCTTACTTGCTCATCCTTTGAGTCTCTGAGCATCATTGCGACCTTGCACTTGGCCACTTTGAACTCCTCCACCACAGAGGAAAATGGAAGTTGGAGCTGTCCTGATCTAATGTAGAGCCCAACTGCAGTGAAGCTGGGAGGGATACCTAGCCATCGCCTGAGATGTTTATTCACTCTCCTCTCCACTCCCTCCACTGCAGTCACTGGGATTTGATAGACTGTCAACAGCCACATAAGTCTTGGAAGGAGCCCATGCTGGTATATCCAGGACTTGAATTTGCCGGGTAGGCCTGACTTGTCAATCCTCCTTAGCCACTCGTCCGCCTGATTTGCAGTGTCAGAGATGTTGTTTCTGTCACTGAGGGTGTCATCGTACCACTTCCCCAGGCATTTAATGGGGTTCTCCCTGATTGTAGGGATCTGCTCTCCTTGGACATGCAGTTCGAAAGCCTCTGTTAGTCTCCCCCGCCTTATCACCATGCTCCGTGACTTCCTGGGCTTAAAAGCCATTCTTGCCCACGATGCTAAAGCCCCGAGAGTCTTTAGGATCCACCTTGCCTGCACATGCGTTGTGGTTGTTATGGTGAGGTCATCCATGAATCCTCTCAGTGGGGGTTGTCTGCTTCCTGCTGCTGTGACTGGTCCCTTGGCCTCTGCTGCTGCTGCTGTAATCAGAAGGTTCATCCCCATGATGAACAAAATGGGGGATACTGTGCATCCTGTTACAATGCCTTTCTCCAGTAGCTGCCATGTGGTGGTAAACTTGGCAGTCTGGAACCGCAGCTTGAATGACCCCAGGTATCTGTTAATCATCTGCCTGATCTTGACGGGGATGTGGTACTGCTCCATAGCCTTGTTGATGAGAGAATGGGGCATGGACCCATATGCATTTGCGAGGTCCAGCCAGACAACTGTTAGGTTGCCCTTGCTCCCCCTGGCCTCCTGGATCAGATGGCTGAGGATGGTGGTGTGTTCCAGGCATCCAGAGAACCCTGGAATCCCCCCCTTCTGGATCGAGGTGTTAATGTATCCATTTGTTGTCATGTAGTTAGTTATTCTTCTCGCCAAGACTGAGAAAAAGATCTTGGCTTCTACACTCAGCAGAGAGATGGCGCGGAACTGGCCGATCTCAGAAGAGTCCTTCTCCTTTGGCACAAAGCAGCCCTCTGACACTCTCCAGGTAGTTGGTATGCTGCCCTTTGCCCAGATTGTCCGGAAGAGCTTCCAAAGTCTACGTAGCAGAAGTGGACACTTCTTGTACACTTTGTAAGGCACTCCGCTTGGTCCAGGGGCTGATGCTGTCCTTGCCTTTTTCACCACCTCCTCCACTTCCTTCCAGGTCGGTTCTCTGGTCACCAAAGGTTCTGAGGGGAGTGGCACCTTGATGATCTTTGGGTGGCTGCTAAGAAGTTCATACCTCTGTGGGTCACAGTGAGTCAACCTCAGAGCCTCTTCAACCTCCTCCTTAGAGCTGCTGAGTGATCCTGATCTTGCCTCTCCTAATAAGGTTTTAGTGAACCTATAAGGGTCTTTGATGAACTGTGCCCTCTTTGCCCCCTTCTTCTTTCTCTGCTTCCGTGTCTGCTCTGCCCTTCTTAGCCTGCGAAGCTGCTCACGAAGCCCTGATGTTAGGTCTCTAATTCCCTCTTTTTCCCCTTCGGTGGCATTCTTGAACTGCCTGGATAGTGCCTTTATCTCTCTCCGCAAGCTCTGCATCTCCTTTTCCCTCCGATTTGGTTGCCGGACATTAGGAGTACTGGTCTTCCTATCCTCGACACCAAACCGCTCCTTGGCCACATTATAGATGATTGCTGTCATCGTTGCCATCTTCTGTTCTGCTGCACCTACCAGAGCAGTTTCAAGAATCTTACAGAGGTCCTCATCCAGCTGCTGCCACTCCTTGTTGCTGTTCATTTTCGGCCATTTTATTCTGTCCTTTGCAGGTTGAGGTTGCTGGGAGGCATCAGAGTTGACCACTGTGTGGTTCAAAGGCAAAGCTGTTGCCAAGAGATCTCCAGTGCTGTGGGGTGCCTCCTGACTGGGGTTCTCCTGCGTCTGACGAGGTGTCTCCACCCTGCGCTGCAACAAAATTGCCTCCTTTCCACACTTGGTCTTGGCTTGATGGATCTTTAGCCCTCTGGTGTTCTTGCATATCTTGCCACATTGGCATTGCACTTCTGGTGCCGTCCCTGTCAGTGTGGTTTGGGTGAGCCTTCTCGTTAACCGTGTATCAGTCCTGGTCTGTACCGATGTGTCCGTCCTTGCGAGTCTCTCATCCTCCCCCCCTCTCGGGAGACTCTGGGGGTATTGCTCATTGTGGTCATTCGTAGCTTGCTTTGGTGCCCTCTTGCGAGTGCTGTACATAAGGTTGCTAGCCTCATGCACCCATGCCAGGCTTTCCTGGAGGTCAGCTGTCTCTCCAGCGTCACTGATCTTCCTCAGTTGCCATCCAGCCTTTCCTGGACGTCACTGATTGCCCAGAAATTACTTATTGAATACATCATGTGATGCTAACATACAGTCACTCCCTAATGTGACTGTGGGTGGTTTTTGGCCTGGAGTTGATGTCATCAGACGGTGCCCAACCTTCGCAGGGTGTTTCGACCCTTAACCGCTACACCCTCCAGCTGGCGGGTCAGCAGTGGTGGCCAGGTCACTGCCCATCATCTCCAGGCCTCCAGCCCCCCTCCTCCCTCTTAAACCACAACCAGCATGAGGCTCTCTCTGCTGCCTCCCCAATCCTGCGCACAGCTGTCTTCCTCTCCTTGCCAGATATTCGGCAAGGAGAGGATCTTTGCAGGGATCTGTTCAATTTTGTTTTCAGGTTGTTCAGATGTAAGACAGCATTTTTTCAAATTTAAATTAAATGAATGCTTTTCCAAACTTAATTTTTCTAATTTGATTTTACAATTAAATGTTTCACATTATGATTCAGATTTCAACATCAGACAAAGATGATCTGACTGAAAACAAAACCCTGTTTTCAAATTCCATTCTTCAGAGGAGCAAGTCACCTCAAACCAAACTAACCCAACATAAAAATCAAATCCCTCTGAAAATAAGATCTTAAAGTTATAGCTGGAAATTCTCTATCAGGAGAATTTTTGAGACTGGGTCATGTAGGCCTGTACAGATAAAGCACTTTTTCAAGTCAGAGGACTTCACCAAGGTGCTTTACACTGCATTCATTCATTCACCCATTCATGCGCACACTGATGAAGCTGAAATACATTGTATTCGACCTGTCATTTAAATCCCATATCAAAGACGTTTCTAGAATTTCCCTCTTTCATCTGTGAAATATTGCAAAAATTAGAAAGAGAAACTGAGAATGAGAAACTAGTCCATGCATTGCAAACTAGTCCATGCAAAATTCTGCAGCCAGGGTTGATGATGAAAATTAAAACGAGAGATCATATTTCTCCTATACTAGCTTCTTTTCATTGGCTTCTTGTTAAAGAATTTAAAATTCTGCTTCTCACATATAAAACCATAAATGGCCAAGCTCCATCTTATATCAGAAATATGATTGTTCCTTATGTTCATAACAGAGCACTTGGCTCTCAATGTGCAGGTTTGCTAGTGGTTCCTAGAATTTCTAAAAGTAGAATGGGAGGCAGATCTTTTAGTTATCAGGCTTCGCTCCTGTGGAACTAACTACCAGTTTTAGTCTGTGGTGCAGACACCCTGTCTACTTTTAAGGGTAGGCTTAAAACTTTCCTTTTTGATAAAGCTTATATTTAAAGAGGCTCAGGTTATCCTGAGCTATCTCCATAGTTATGCTGCTATAGGTTTAGAGTTCTGGAGGACATAGGGATCCCTTTTCATCATACTGCTTAATTCTATCTCTATTCTCCAGCGCTGCAGAATCTGTTAGTTCAATCTCTTACGGTATGCTCTCTCTGCTTTTTCTCACAGTAGCTTCATCTGGTCCGTTCCTGTTTGGCTGTGACTCCATCCTGGAGAGAAATATCAGCTGTGCTGCTGCCATCAACACCTTTGTTTATAGATTTTCAAGATCTGCCAGTTTTTCAAGTGTAGTCCTGTTTCTCTGACTGTGACTAGCTTGGTGTGCTCTCTTCATCCTCTGACATGGGAGTTGGCAAGGAGCTCGTCTGCCTGGCTGTGTGTTTCCTGTACCGGGGTGCCTTTTACAGCTGCTTTTTGTATCTCTGCTTCTGTCTCCTTGAACCCCAGTCGGCCTCGGCAGATGGCTGCTCACACAGAGCCTGGTTCTGCTGGAGGTTTCTTCCTGTTAAAAGGGAGTTTTCCTCTCCACTGTCGCTACAAGCATGCTTAGTGTGAGGGATTGCATTCGAGTCAATGAGTCGATGCAATCGACTGCTCCCTTTTATAGAGAACTTTCAATCAATTTGACTGTATAATCTGGTGAACTGTAAAGTGCCTTGAGAGAACATGTGTTGTGATTTGGTGCTTTAGAAATAAACTGAATTGAATTGAATAGCCACATCTGCCCTGGGGCTCACTGACAGAAGGGAGGCTGCAGTACACTGGCCCCACCAGTCCCACTATCGGTAGGCAATGCAGGTGAAGTGTCTTGCCCAAGGACACAACGACAGTGAAACCCAGATTAATTATATAATTATAGTCTTCTGAAACGCTGTGTCAGATGTATCAGAACATTCATTTTACTTTTTTAATCCTGTCAATTAACAAAAACTTTTCCCCAGTTTGCTGATTGTCCCCCATAAATAGCCGTGAGTCTTTCTTATCACAAGCTCTGATATTAACTGTGCAACATGAGGTTGGTAGTACTTTAGCTTTTGGACCTCCCACAGGGGTTTGTGGTATCTTGGGGAGGTTGTTGATATAGATTTATAACCTTTTCCAGACTGGTAGATATGAATGACCCCTGCATTTTGCTCATGACTGATATACTGCTTCAGTTCTTTAGATTTTTTAGATACTTTATGTTGTAAAAGCTTCAGTTTCAGAAATGTCATGATTTTTCGTGTGTGACAGTAACGGCTGCGTTGCAGTCCTTTTTTTATTGTCTCAGAGTAAAATAAGATATAGCTGAACCTGTCAAACTCAAGTAAAGACTGATAAAACAGCTCTGTTGTGGGAAGTCAATACTATGAACCATCAGCAGCTAACAGGTAAAGACTGTGAAGGTAGGTTGGCCAGCAGAGGGCATTAATGACAGCACATAAATGTTGGCACTTGAGGTCTATAACACTAGGCTCCCATCCACAGTATTTATCTGAAGCTGAAGGAATTCCAATAAAGACAATAGGTTCCCATTACATTTAAATATGCATCGTTAGGATTGATAAATGCACACGTGTGGTTTTAAAAATACACACAAAAAAACATTAAAGAGCACAGAAGATCGACAAATGCCCAAAAAGATCAGAAATGCAATATTTACATATTCACACAAGATTTAGAAAAACTGAAACATTCATATGTTTATAGATTGCGTCTGGTCTGGTCCGTACCAGTGCCAATTGTGTACAGGTGTGCAACTTGTTATTCTCACAGGGAATGATCAGCAAACAATTAGATACTGCATATTCATTGTTTTATTCAAAGATATTAACGCACATAGCTTGTGGTATGAATGAGTTATGAGCCAATTGCATGACTGTTCAAAAAACAATATATCTATGTGGAGCAGACACAGGCCAGTGGAGTTTAAACCATTTAGACTTCAACATGGCCTCTGGCAATGACAAAACCTGACATATTTAGCAGGTATACCCTAGTTAGGGTTATGTTGGTAATAGTTTTAACATCTATCATCATGTACCTCGTACTCGTACTCGTCGTCTCCCGCTTTATCCGGAACCGGGTCGCGGGGGCAGCAGACTAAGCAGAGACTCCCAGACTTCCCTCTCCACAGACACCTCCTCCAGCTCTGTTGGGGGAAGCCCTAGGCGCTCCCAGGCCAGCCGAGAGACATAGTCTCTCCAGCGTGTCCTGGGCCGTCCCCTGGGCCTCCTCCCGGTGGGACGTGCCTGGAACACCTCCCGAGGGAGGCGTCCAGGGGGCATCCGAAGAAGATGTCCGAGCCGATGTGGAGAACCTCCACATCGAGAACCTACACTGAACCTACACTGAGCCTCTCCCGAATGACCGAGCTCCTCACCCTATCTCTAAGGGAGAGCCCAGCCACCCTGCGGAGAAAGCTCATTTCAGCCGCTTGTATCCGGGATCTCGTTCTTTTGGTCATGATCCAGATTTCATGACCATAGGTGAGGGTAGGAACGTAGACCGACCGGTAAATTGAGAGCTTTGCCTTTTCGCTCAGCTCTCTCTTCACCACGACAGACCGGTGCAGCGTCCGCATTATTGCAGCAGCCGCACCGATCCGTCTATCGATCTCCCGCTCCATTCTTCCCTCACTCGTGAACAGGACCCCAAGATACTTGAACTCCTCCACTTGAGGCAAGGTCATCATCTACCATCTAACGTAATTTGACATCTATCAAGGTAAGGTGGTAAAATAAGTAGACATAGCATTTTTCTGGGTACTTCAGGTTTTTGCAATGGTACAAAATCAGATGACTAAATTATTATTCTTGGATGTTGGTTCTGTTAATACTTTACTGCAAAGTGTTCTCCACATCTAACACCTTAGCTGCTGGAACAGGCTGCTGGCCATGCTAATCCAAACTGGATTGAAAGTGCTGCTTCTTACCTGTGCCTTTAGCTCAACAACATACGATGTAGCTGCCATGTACTTTGAATGGTGGAGAAGAGCCACCCTTGACATATCCCCATCATGTTTTATGAAATATCCTTTTTTTGGTTTCTCACTAAACATAAACTTCCACTGGCCTGCAACATAGGAACACAGATTACAAGGGAATATGTTCACATGAGCTTCAAGCTTTTTTGCACAGACAGAGATACTTCACTAACCACTAAATGACACTGCATTGAGAAGGATCAGTTGGGCGCTGGGTGAGACTTCATTGATTAAATTTCTGATCCTGTTATTGGTCATGTTTGCCACCCAGCTGTTGATCATGTGTGTGTTTTCCTCACTGGACTCCAGCAGTTTTGTAGGTTTTGCTCCATAGTACTGTACAGATAGTCTGCTGAAAGACTCACTCAGATTCATTTCTGAGAAAAAATGGAATGAAGAAAAACACAATGAATTAAAAGCCGTTCTCTGCAATAGACCAACGGATACCAGAAATGGAAAACATGTTCATGCTTAAAACACTCGGGTACGTGAGTTATAGTAGATCTGGGAAGCCATCTGCAAGGACTCCCCCATCTTCTCTTTCTGCTTTTTCATCTGGAAGTGAATGCAGTTGAAGTCATGGGGCACACAGATAGCTCTTTCAATAGCTTTGCGGGTTTTACCACTTGCACCTGTGGAGTCAAAGAAAAACAGGTTAGTGAAAAAATAAAGAGAGCTACATAAAATATCTGTCATTTAAATAAAAAGAAAATGGTTTTCCCCTGTTGAGGGATGCTAGTAAAGCATATTACCATCAGACAGTAATCAAAGATTTAACCTGTTAGGAGAAAAGGATTTTAGAACTAATTTCTGCCTAAATAAATCAAGAATAACTCTGCAGTTATCAGCTCTTGAAGCAAACATTTAGTATTTTAGTTGTATTTAGTATTATCGTCTCATTTAGAAAACATGATAAATATAACTATATCTGATTTACTTGAAAATAAAACAAATTAACTAATAAAAAAGAAAAATCCCAAACTCCCTGCAGTACCTCCCTAATCCACTAGGGGATCGTGTCACCTGTCATGAACACCACTGGTTTTGTGTAATTTATTTGCCTACCAGAGGTGTCAAAAGTATTAATGTTTAGAGTATAAACTTAAACTTTATACTCCAGTAAAAGTGTAAAAGTAACACTTTTAAAACTGCTTTGAGTATAAAAGTAATAGTAGTCAAATTAACTAAGTTAACAACAGCACCTTTACTGCACTACTGTATTAAAGGAAATTTTTTTCTACAATTGTGGATGATAACTTTCTTAAAATTATTTTTCTTAGTTTTAAAACTAATGGCAACAGAGTCAAATTTAACTTTCATCTTGAAAAACGATTTATTTTGGTATTTTGCAAAGAATGAGTTGGTGCAGCATTGAGTCCAACCTCAAGGAAATTAATTGTCTTGATTAAAGAAATCATTTTGACGGTTTTTATTTTTTTTTAAATACTAACAGGTCATAATGAAAAGAATCTTATATGAAACAAAACTAACAAGCATATTTTTTTAAATGTAAGATGCAGAAAGTAGAGATAATAAAAAAAAAAAAAGGAGTATAAGTAAAACGTGGTTTAAAAAAATATATTACTCCAGCAAAGCATAGATAGCCAAAATTTCTACTTAAGTAATGTAACAAAGTATTTGTATTTTGTGTGTTGAGCAGCTGATGCTTGCTATAGAAATATATATAAAAAAAGACATGAATGGATGGATGGAGAGATTGATGGAGGAAAGACTTAATTATTTAAGTGATGCAAAGATGACTTTTATTTATGAAGCACAATGTGCTGATGACTACCTGTTTTTGCATTTTAAACAGTACACTTTAATCCTACAAACTAATAAAATAAGAAGGATCATTATTAGCCTATATTATTAGCAGTTTTGTTTCTAATTATTTTTGATGAATTTACAATCTAAAATAAAGGAAACTGAATAATTCTACCTAAGCTTAATAAACAATCTAAATAAAAACAAAAGGGCCAGGCCCAACTTTGCCTCTATGCACATTTTTTGAATGATACTTGTCAAAAATGTCTGTAATTGGCTTTTGTACCTAATAACAGGTGGGAGAGTATGGCACTGATGCTGATTGGAGAGAAGAGCGTGTTTTTTGAGGGATTATCTTGGGTTATGTAGGAATAGAGTTTCATTGCAAACTCTGTCAAAGATTCCCGCAATATGGGTTCATCTGTGCGACTGTTCTCCTCCAAGCATGGCTCCAGCTCTTCCACGTGGTCTTGGCATGAGATTGGAAGAGAAGTGGGAGGAGCTGAAAAAAAGTTACATTTTTAAAAAAGTGCACCATCATTATTGTAATAGGATTTCATATAAAATTAACTATAACATATTTTATCTGAATAAAAAATGGTTCTGATTATGCAGTCAGAGTTTATGGAGGAGATTTATTAAAATACCTTCAACTTCCAGCTGTATAGAGATCAACCTTTGCCCATCAGCAGATTCACAGATGTAAAGTCCAGCATCCTCCATTTTAATGTTTCTGACCATGATGGTTTGATCCAGTTCATTTGGTGAAATCAGTTCAATTTTTTCTTGTGTTCCACTTTCCTCTTCTGTTTGTAGTCTCTTTCTTTTACCAACGCTGCTCTCCTTGAACCACAGTGCATTAGAAATGACCCCACTGGAAGGTGGTAGGTAGCATGGGAGGAGCACATCAGAGTTCTCTTGAATCTTGACGGTCGTCTGTAAGGATTCTGGAAGCAAAATGCAAAATAAAAACAAATCCATCAGTTTTTATAGGATTTATACATTTCATTATCTACAGTAATGTGTAATATTTTACTATTTTAACGGTTTTTGTTTACACTTTTTACACTATCATATTTTAAATCATTAAACAGAAAATGGATCATCTAAATAAAAAATACATTTTTTTAGAATAATGACTTGATACAAAGAGAAGAAATCGATCCAATCCAATGTATTCCTATCAAAAAAAGTACTTATGTTCCCCTTGTTAAACCTAAAATGTACTGCAATAGACTGCTTTTCTTTTAGTATGTTGAGTTCATTATCAAATTAAGCTTTCCAGTCAAGTAAAAGTGTAAAAGCAGAATTTTTATAACTATAGTATAAAAGTATAAGAATAAAAGTAAAATGAATGCAGGAAAAATATTAAGAGCAGATTCTTAATTGTTTTACTGCACTAGCCTATTAAAGCAACAGTTTTCAACAATTCTAGATGATAATTTCCTTAGTTTCATAGTTTTATAACTAATTGTAACAGACGCAAATTTAACTTTGCATCATCTCGGAAAAAAAAAAGTTATTTTTGTATGTGGCGAACAACAAGTTGGTGCAGCAGTGAGGCCAACCACAAGGATATTAATTCTCTGGATGAAACAAAATATTGTGACTTTTTATGTATACCAACAGGCCATAACCAAAATTAGTTAAAAATTTAAATAATTAACCAGTCTATTTTTAGAATTTAAGGAATAGAAAGTAGAGAAATAAATTATTACTCCAGTAAATAGCCAAAATTTCTTCTTAAGTAAGTTAAGGAAGTTTTTATACTTTGTTACTTGAAACCTCTGTGGACTACAGTAAAGGAAAGTGAAGCCAGCTGCAACAAATAGAGAAAACATGGAAGAACGATGAACCCTCAGAGGAGTGGCCGACCTGCTGATCTTTAACACCAAAAGCTCATTGACAACTCATCCTGGAGGTCAACAAGGAACCCAGAGATCTGCTGAAGAGCTGCAAGCTCCACTTCCTTTGGTTAAAGTCATTGTGCATGGTCTAAAAACAATAGACTGGACGAACAATGACATTCAGCGGAGAGTTGCATAACCAAAATCCACAGGCTGTTTAAAACTACCACCATCTTCATTACCACGCTTGATGATCTATAAGAATACTGGAAAATATATATATATATATATTGTGTTGACTGACAACAAAAAAAGTTTAACTTTTTGTAAAGTGTGTGTCCTCCTGTCACATCTGGTGCAAACGCAACACTGGACAAAATTTAGAGACAATGACTTATAGCCTCATATACCATACGTTCCTAAACATTTCAGCCTGCGACCACAGAAACAACATTACAACATACTAGCAACCCCTTAAAAATACATATAATTTCTTCCCCCAACTCATACAGTTTAACTCCAAGCACTGAATCTCAAGAAGTATGTGGAACACTTTTCTGCATGATGGCAGGCACTCTAAACGGGTTTCAGGCCCTTTGAAAGAGTAAATGCCCCACAGCATTATGTATCCTCAAGTGAACTCAACAGTCGGCATGATGTCCTTTTCTACATTTTTATTGTTTATCTTTTGCAAATCCAACTAAAAAGAAACATTTTCAACGTTTTTACTGAAAAATATCTTTAAAATTATTTGACCATTTATGACTAAAACATTGTTTGATTAGCAGACTGACATCTAATATCAGCACAGATGCATCTACAAGCCTGTGGTCCATTTTCCCTGAATGTACATTGAGTTGGAAATTCCCGTGCTATATCTGCTGATGTCATGTACGTCCATGCATTTAGCAAACAATCAAGGATTATATTTAAGATGGATTTTGCGGGGACTCTGAAGCGACTGGCATCCAGCTCATCTTGGTGAACGAATGCAACTCATTGTAAGGTGAGTTGAAAAAAGTAAAAAAACAAAACCAAACCAAACCAGACTTGTTCAAGCTATGAGAATGAGCAGAAGGGTGCTGCAGTTCTGTTTTTGCCACAGGTGGCAGAATCATTTAAAAAAAATCTGTCCTGTCTCCTTAAGTCTTTGTCAGAAGAAGTTGGGGGGGGGGATGTCTGGGCCTCCCTATGGAAGCTGCTACCCCCGCAACCCGACCCCGGATAAGCGGAAGAGGATTGATGGCACCTCAAATAAATAATCTGACATGTGGATAAAATAGCATATAAACATTATTATGAAGACCTTGGGATCCCAGGATGTTACATTTTGCTATGATTCTCTAACAGTTAGCTTTGTAGATATATATTTTTTATTAATAGCTTTGTTTAGGGGCATTTAAATAAGTGTAACCTCTATGAAACAAAGTTCTTCATAGGTCTTAATAATTGTGTCATCATTGATTCAGTTAGAGTCTGTTTTTTACACATTGAATGAAATGTAATCCAGATAAAACAACAGTTGGATCAACTTAAAATGTGAGATTAAGGTATTGCGTCAGAAATGAATTTGTTTTACAGCTAATAAAATAGCTTTACCAGCACTTCCAACAATATGTCTGTCTGTGTAGGCTTGGTAAAGAAGTCTCACCAACTGTGAGGCTGTACGTTGTAGTCACCATCCCTTGTTCCAACACTGCCACACACACATACTCTCCCTGGCTGGCAGCAGTCACAGGAGATATGGAGACGTAAAAGTCATTCTTTACAACTTTAGCTGAGCCGTCTGACTGAGGAGAAGCACCTATGCTTTGTCCTGCAATGGCACCCACACACACACAAGTCAAAAAAACAAGTTGAATAATATATGAGCATTAGGTGCTGAATATTTGCTGTATTTTCTATTAATTCTTACAAACAGAAATAACAATAACACCATTAAATGTCCAGGTGATGTTTGCGCCTGTGATGTCATTTTCAGATGAATAACAGGGTAGCTCCACTGTGGAACCTTGTGGAGTCCGGATACTCATGCATGCTGCGAGCTGAAGCAAAGAAATAAACTGTTAAATTATGCAAATAAAAAAACAAATAACTCATTTAACAGATCTAAGACCACAATTGCCGCACATCCTTGCTGAAGTGTTCACATCCCTTCAATAAACTGTATTGCTGTACTATTATAAATAAATCCCTGAAAACAGAAAACAAAACATTTTTAAACATAGAAAAATTAAAGCACGATTTCCTTGCAAAAAAACACATTATGTTATGTTATTGGCTTTGCATTACTAAAATCATTTTATTTTCTCCTGTTAACTGGGGTATGAAAGATGAATTACTTGTTTTGCAGTGTTTCTGTATTTTGCTCCCCAGATAGGCATAATGCACGGCATAATTCTCATACTCATTTATTAATTCTGTGCAGTGTTGGACTAGTTGTAATAACCATTTAGTTAGAAATTTGCAAAGATATGTTAATTCATGATTTTATATAAGAATGAGACCTTCATTTATTACTTGTTGTCATAAAATGTTTTTACATCATTTATCAGTTCTTGTATAATTGGCATAATAATTTTTTTTTTACTGGTTGCCAAATACCCTGTAAAAACATTTCTCCACTCTGTCAATTAACAACCATAAACCTCAATGTTTCAGTTGGGACTTCATATAACGGAATCAACACAAATAAATAAAATCGTTTTTTGAAGAGAACAGAAAAAGGTATGTTTGAAAAGACATTCCAAATGTTAGTAATTTGTACTTAGCCCCTTAAATCTGATTTCCTACATAAAATGCAACTCAGCATTTAGGATTTCTGTTTGAAGCCTGCCACAAAAAATACAGAATAGAATAGAACAGAACAGAATAGAATAGAATAGAAAACCCCATTAGTCCCACAATGGGCAAATTGTGGTGTTACAGCAGCAGCAAAAACTTGTAGCAAAATTATATTGTTATAGTACAATGTGGACCTTAGAAAAGTGTATAAAAAACATTAGAATTAGGGACAGAGTTAAGAAAATAAACAAGTAAAATACCTTACTGTGCAGTATTTATACAATATACGTAAATACTGTGTATCTGGAGAATAAATAATCAATAAAGAGCTGGGGACATTTTTACAGTATTGGATACGCGAAAACAATATTTTTCTATTTTCTATATATTCTAAATGATATATATAAAATACATTAATGCATCAAAAGTGGATGGTGTTCTGATCGGCTGAGACCAAGTTTACTCTTTGGTCCACATATGTAGTGGCTTACTACACTGCATATCACCATAATCAACCTTGGACGTTGTAAAACTAGTAGGCAGAAACATCATAATGTAGGATTCCTTTGGGACGGTGAAATTAGACTCAATGGGAAAATGGATGGCAAGGGACACAAAGCAGTACTGGGGAAAAAAAACTGTTTGAGATGGTAAGATATTTAAAACTGGGATGGAAGTTCCCTCATTCTGGTTTGTTGTTTTAGTATGGCTATAAGTAAAATAGCTTGGGTTATTTAAATGTTGCAAATTGCTTTCATGACTGCAGTTAAAGAACAGAAACCTCAAGAGTTTTACCTCAAAAGTGAGCTGCAGCAGGAGGTAAACGATGACCTGTAGTTTCATCTGCAAATGGAATTAGATTAAAGGTCAATGATTTCAAAACTACTATGGCAACATGCCACAGGAAAGATCAACATGTATTGCAACCAGCAAAGCATTAAGGTCCTTCACAAAGTTTTTTAAACATTATATTTCCCCAACATCTGTTTTATAATCACAAGCTTTTCTAATCAGAAGATTGTCAAATAAAGACATTTGGGTAAAAATGTAGAACCTTCCCACAACATATGTATTTACGTGTGGTATACATTTGATTGATTATGTTCACAAATCAAAGCAAAAAATAAATAAAAAATAGAATACTCACCGCCTCTGTATTTTCAAGTGTCTGTTTTTAGGAATAGCATCAATTTTAATCAGCGCTGTGTTTCTGTCAGACTGCTTTTTATTGCCTTCACCACCTCTGACTTATCTGCTCATCTGAGATGCAGCTGACACTGGTTTGTCTCTGTTGATTTAGAGATGTTTGCTTGCATACTGCGGGCCATCTGAGTTGCTGGAAATCACATGATTTCACTTTGTTGGCAAATATCAAGAGGATTGAATAACTGTCCTGCATGGATTTTGGCTAGCTTTGGTTAGCTCTTTTCAAACATACTATTAGTAAAATATGTATTAAATGTATATAATTGCTTTTCTGAGTAATTAAATATCATTTAACACTGAATTCATGGCAGATGTTTTAAATAAAAAGAAAATGAGCAATATTTGAATAGACTAAGTTATGTCTAATGAAATGGAGTTGTAAAGAGTAAATACTGAATATAAAAAGAAAAGGATTTTCCAAGAAAAGGATTTCTTTTACAGACTAGTTTAATATCAACATATGAGCTATAAAAAGCTTTTTCATTAACAATGTATTGTAAGAGTGATGCTGCTAAAAGCAAAGAGACCTTCACCAAAACATTTCACTGTCACACATCCTTCTGGTGGTGATGGCTTTGACTGTGTCTCAGAGCGAGAGAGCACTCAAAGAGAGCTTCAGACAGGCCTGGAAATAAAATTTACTGTTTTGCCCATGAAAAAACATTAGCGATGCACCATAACGACCTCTATGCACACCCACAGAAGGGAGTAATCAAAACAGATATAAAGATAAAATAGATGTGAAGATTTTCCTGGCAATGGACAAACACACAGCCAAGGAAACTCTTATGGGCTTTAGTGAAAGAGAAAATGGCATAGTGCATCACATTATTTAAATGCGACTAAAAAGCTATTAAAAAACTGAACAGAGTGCTTAGAAATACCCCATAATATTTACTATCTAGTGTGAAAGAATGGGTTGAAACAACACTAGCAAAATACATAACATTATCTTATTACAAGAGATAACTTCAGGGGGGTTTTGTCAATAAAAGCTTTCATCAATTTCAGTTCTCAGTGTCATTTCAAACTTCTACTTGTAACTTTATCTAAGAACTAATTTCCTTTAATTTGTATGTGTGGATTCCTGGGTTGTCAGCAACCGGAATTTATAACTGCACTGCAAAAAATGGAAATCTAAATAAGACATTTTTGCTCAAATTTAGTGCATTTTTTCTTGAATTGAGGAAGTAAGTGTGACACTTTGCCAATGGAATGAGAGAATTTACATTTAAAATAAGAAAAAAAAACTATTGTTTTGTCTTAATTCAAGCATATATTATCTAATTATCTTATTTTAGGAGTAAAAATACTAATTCCATTGGCAGGTCATCTTATTTACCTGCTCAAATTAAGGGTAAGTACACTTAATAGAAGATATTTTTCCCTTATTTCTAGGTGTTTTTTGCAGTGTGCAATGCCATTCAGTTATAAACAAGGTTGTTATAACTTGACTCATTTCTGGGTAAAGGCTCAGTTTGACCTGGATTTAGTTCAATTAGCAGCGGTAAAATAGCCATGCTTGGATTTTTTTTTTTAGTTGGATAATGTCAAATTATAAACTTATGGTGCTAAAATACTGACTGCATTTAGAAATAATTATAATTCTTTAAATAAAACTAAACAAGTTAACTCCCAGAACCATGCTCTCTTTACCTGGTATGTTGGGTTCTGGTTTAAACAGGGCTTCATTGTTCTTCATAGTTCTGTCGGTTAGAATCTATTAATGTCTTTCATTGGGCCCCACATCCCTAGCTGTTCTCATACAGGACTTACACACAGCTGCACATTACCATGTCACCAGGTCATCTTGAATCCATTCCAGCCCAAATAAATGCTAAGGATATGCATGGATGTGCTAACATTTCTTCAGCTAAATCAAAACAAAACTATAAAATAAAAGTAATAGTTTTGGACCTAAAATAAGAGTTTTCCAAATTTAGCAGACAACTTTAGTAAAATCAGCTAGAAACCAGCAATCAGGCTCAAAATCAAGATGAATTGATGGACCTTTAGAGGCAAATGGAGACAGTATCAAAGTCGGCTCTCTATCAAGGATATCTCCGGGATTAAAGAACTAAACTAATTCCTGTGTTCATCTGTAATAGAACTGATTACTTTGAAAGTGTTTTTTACAGGTCTGCCTAAAAAGTGGATCAGACAGCTGCAGCTGATCTAGACTGCTGCAACCTGCATCCTCACCAAAACTAAGAAGGTAGAGCACATCACTCCAGCTCTGAAGTCTTTACACTGGCTCCCCCATCTAAGAGGATAGTGTTTAAGGCAAGGCAAGGCAAGTTCATCTGTATTCAGTACAAAGAAAATTGAAAGTGCTTTATATGAATGAAATAGTAAAAAAAAAAAATTCAAAATAAAAGCAGCAATTAAAGATACATTAAAATACATCATTTAGTCTATAAATTAGTAAATAGCTTATCTAGAAAATACATTACAAACCTGTTGTCAGCATATTATTTTCTGGTTTAATTCTACACCAGAACCAGACATGGAGAAGTGGTTTTGGAGTTCTGATGCTCCACTAGTCTGAAATAAACTCCTAAAAAATGTATAAGTGTTGAAACCCAAAATCGTTGTAAATCAAGAAACATTTTGGCTTTATATAAAAAAGACCTATTTGTCTAAAGTAGCTTCTGCCTATGCTTTCTAAACATTATTAGCTTTTTTTATCAGTCCAACTTTTCCTTGATGCTCCTCATTTGAGCCCCCTCCTGCAACTCACTCCTCATTCTCTTCCACCGTGAGAAGAGTGGATTAAGGCCAGCATTGAAGCGACATCTAAAAATGCACTGCAGTTTTGCGGATGTAGAAAATGTGGATCAAGATTGGTAAACAATATACTCATACTTGAATTAAAAATAAAAAAAAGATTTTCATATCCATGGTAGTTTAGCTGACACAACTATAAATTAATAATGTTCATTTTATCTCAAAGATTCACAATTCACTTTCATAATCCAGTAAAACTCATAGTTTATATAAACCCAATATTTTTTATGGAAATAGCCAAACAAGGTCATCTTCAATGCAGCAGAAATGTTGTAATGATGTTGATTGTGATTAGCTATCACTAAAATTGTGCTTAAATCTTTCACTTTTTCACTTTACAAAAAGCTGTAAAACTGCTTTTAATTAGAGGTATAGTAAAAGATTTCAATGTTTTCATTAGAATTATTTTAAATGAAGATAAAACTTTAGAGAAATATGCAGCTATAGTTTTCTTTACAGGATAGTATCAGTCCAGAACAAGCAAACGAATGAAGACTTGTGGTTATATAAACTATTAATGCCATTTTTTATTTTTTTTTTTGTCTGAAAAATATATTTTCAAATGTCCCTTTCAAGGCCATACAGGTCACTTGATGTTTTATCTGCAATTTTCGAAACTTTGTTTCTTTATAAGCACTTGACTATAAGTGAGAACCATAGACCGGAAAATCTTTAATAACAGAAAAAATTAAAATTTTAAACTCACAGAAGCACCCACGCCCACACACACACATACACACACCCACATGTCAAACACATAGAATAAGTATTTTTTGCTGATTATTATTTTATGCAGGGTTTGGCAAAAAGGAAAGAAAATATTTGTATTAATTCAAATCTTACCAGTCAAGTAATGTTGTAGCTTTAAAATGAATTAACATAATGAGCTGTCCAGTGCTGATTTGTCATTCTGCACCTTGAAAACACTATTCAGCCAAAGTGTTCTTAGACAGAACAGATTTCTGCTTTTTAGCCTGGGGTAGTTTTATCAGAAGAATGTAGGTTTGTGAATAGAACATGTCTGAAAAGGATCAGAGGGAGCTGCACCTTGAGGCTTTGGGAAAAAAGAAAAATCAAAGGGGTGCTATGTGTTTTGGGGGGTTAAAAGCCTTACCCAGTATGTTGGATCAAACCAATGATCTAACCCTTGTCTGCTAAAATATACAGTAGCCTACAAGTAAAAATGTAAATTATTTCCTGAAATTATCGAAATAAGGTTGTTTAAAACACTGGTGGATTTTGTCGTACTCACAGCAGACCATCCATCCATCCATTTTCTGTCATATATATATATATATATATATATATATATATATATATATATATATATATATATATATATATATATATATATATATATATATATATATATATATATATATATATATATATATATATATGTTCATATATTTACATATATATAAACACATATATATATATGTACCTCTCCAGTGAAATTAACAAGTCCATATTATAACAAGTCCATGTTTTGTATGTTGTTTCCTTCAAACTTAAAGCTAATAGCGTGATATCTGGTACTTAAATATTACTTCAACTTAACAAAAACTGCTCCGAACCAATAGTTTGGGAAGGGAAATGGGCTGTTGGATAAATCGATAGTGGATTAATCACCCTGAAGGAGGAACAGAAGCTGTTTGGGCGGAATCAGTCGTGTCCAATCGAAAGCCGAGCGATAAAGACGATCTTCAAAACTTTGGAAGAACTTAATTAAGCCGAGATTTACTTTTAAATCTTATTAACGCTTCAAACGGTTTCTTCTTCGACTGTTATAGCATGTGACGATTCTGAAAACTACTTTCGGAGGAGGTTTTGTTTTGTTTTTTCCTTTTTCGGAGCCAAGTTTTTCCAAAGACAGTAAGTTTAGCTGTTGGTCATCTGATCTTGGAGCGGAAAGAGGACAAACAATGGCAGAAACAGCTCAGAGGGTTAGCTTTGGAGGACCACATCCGCTAAAATATGTCCGTTAAAATCAAACCGCCATTGCTGCCGTTGTTTTTGGGGCGTAGAGGTGTTAGTGTTTATATAAGTGACGCAGCTAGTTATTATGGTGATTTAAAAGCATGTCTGTTGAAAGTTTACAGGGACAATGTGAAGGAAAGCAGGTCCATCTCTTCTCTGGTAGTTAATGTGTGCTGTGATGGTGATCTCTCTGCAGTGAGCATCAGATCCCAGCAGCTCAGGGACTGACAGCATGGCATCACAGTTCACCATCGATGATGCCTTCGTGTTGGATGGAGAAGAGGAGGAGGCTGCTGTCTCTGATGGAAACCCGGAGGGATGGAAGAGCAAAGAGAAGGAGAGAGATGGAGAGATGACGTTTGGGCCCCTGACCTTCTCCAAACCTCAGGCTCATCCTTCAGCTGCAGCCACAGGCTCACCTGATCACAGCAACCTGAAGTATCAGGTAGGAGAAACCCGCCATCTGTTGGTTTTTTTCTATTTATATAGTCCTGCTTTTTAACTTCTATCTGCCTGACAATCTCTCTGATTTTCATAGAATCTGGAAAATGAAGACGCACTGGGCAACAATGGCAACTCTTCCTTCAATAACTTCTTCAAAATCAGGTAGAGCGGTTTTCTTTGGTTTCATCCTTTAAAAGTGTTGGACAGATTCCAGTTTCCCCCAAACTAGGAATTAAATTTGATGTTTAAAGTACAGTCAGGCCCCGGAATTGCAACATCTGTAATGATATTTTTTGAAAATTGCTGCATATATATATATTATATATTAGAGTTGCGCCAATGCCCTTTTTTGGCACCAATACCTGGCTGTGCAGTATCGGCCGATACGATACCATCTGTTTGAAATTGATGTGTGCGTTTGTATATATGTAGTACTGCATACTACTTGGGTGTAAAATAATTGCCATCATGGCTTTGTCAGGCTGCTGCCTACCTTTGTGAAGCAGGAAAAAGACTAATACAAAGTGAATCCAGTAAAACTTTTTATTAATATATAATAGTATATAATAGTTTAATGAAGTTTTGGCTCTCAAAATGGTATCGGTGCCCTATTTGTTGGTACTCGCCGATACCGCTACCAACATTATAGTTCTGTATCAGGGCCCCGATACTGGTATCGGTATCAGTGCAACACTACCGTAATATATATATATATATATATATATATATATATATATTTATGTGTGTATATATATATATATATATATATATATATATATATATATATATATATATATATATATATATATTTATGTGTGTATATAATTCTAATACAGCTAAAGGAAAGTGGATTAATTTCACTTTGGGAGAAATTTGGTATAAAACATTTATGAAATTAATAATTTGAATAACAAGAAATTCATATTTTTATGCATGGTAATATGTGTATGGCAAATTTCACATCTTAGTTACCGTTTTTAATTATATCAGGCTCCTTTTGGATGTTTGAAATACATTTAGAACAGTGTTTGCTTGAAAGTAATTAATTTGGCATAACGGTGTTAATCAAGTTAGATATTAGTTTGAATGTAAGCAAAGTTAATTTACTTATTTTTTTCTCATTTGCAAAGCTTTCAGATTTAGTCGATAACATTTAACAGACCCTAGAAAGCTGAATTTTCAGGTCATTTCATTTCTTTCTAACTATCTTAAAAACTTTTTATTCCATCTCTCCAAAGCGATCCGGCTACTTTGTCGTACTGCAGCTCTCAGTGGTCCTTTAGCACCTTGAGTTCGTACACGCAGCTCTCGGCTCGATGCTGCGGGTAAGCCCACTCCTCAATAGGAAAATAAAAAACATGCATGCCTTTACATAGAAAAACACAGACGGAGATAAAGCAGATGCATGTTTCTCAGGTGGGTGTCCCACCCGCTGGTGAAGAAAAACAGACGAGTCGTTCTCGCTTCATTCCTGCTCCTAATCACTGGAGTCGGTGAGTTCACATCTGGTGTTTGCTGCTTTTCTTCTTACATTAAAATATGCACACATTATTTCCTGCTTATCTTGTAAAGCAGGGCTTTCTGTTGTCTGTTTGTGTTTCCACACAATTACTACTTAAAATATCATTGATTTGCCAAAAACTAATTTTTTTTTTTTTACCTACTTTTGTTGTTTGTTTTTTTTTATCTTCTTTCAGCATTTCCCAAAAAACTTTAAAAAGAAATAGGCTTTTATTGACAACTGTATTCAATGAAATTCAATCATCAGTATTAAAAGCATCAACCTTGTTAAGCCCAGAAAAAAATAAATCAAATTTTGCGTCTAATGCGACCGAAAATCTTGTAGGATGAGGTTATGATATTTAGAGGGGATGATCACACCCCTTATGATTTTACACAAGGGGGCTTGTGTTGGTCTGACTGAGATAGACCCCATGTCTATTCTAGTCAGACTACCTAGCAATTTCATGGGTCTGACAGGAAGAGAGAAGCGGTTACAAAGTAAAACGCATCCGCTGTGGGGGAAATACTAAATAAAAACTGTTAAGCACATGGAAAAACAGTTTTTGAGTCACATATAGCATATATAGCAAGCAGGACAGACTCCTTCCAAAACAATGAATGAAACATTAAAAAAAGAAATATTACGGGGATTAGGAATTCAGGAACACAGAAAACTGTGTTCTTCGTTGAGCCTCGCAAAAACGAGCGACAGAAAGTACAGTTGATCAATCTCCTCGGAAAAATAATAACTTTAGAAGGAGAATTCCGTAAAAGTTTAAAAAACAATTCACTAGACTTGGTTTCCAAGGTTTGAAGACGTTTCGCTTGCCCTCCAGGAAGCTTTCTCAATTCAAATGTCTGGATCCGCAGTGAGTTTTAGTCTTTATAGAGACAAGGCCTTGTATTGCTTCGAAACATGCAAATTGAAACCGACGATTGGGTCGTTTGGTTCCATTGTTAGCCTGTAATACCTGAAACCTGTCTAATATACTACAGAGACAGAAGTGAAAAAAATCTGCACAGATCTGCATACCCTGCCTAGTCAGGGGCTCTCTATACGCAGTCAGTGTGACATGGAAAAAAAATCAGATCAGAGATTAAAAAGTCGTACACAGCCGGTGTGTTCAGGCTGTTACTCTGGCATTCTGGATATATTTGTTGGGAACTGTTTCCAAAGGGATTAGATCTGCAGAGTTAAATGGTCACAGATCTAGAATGAGCAATTCCCTAATCTCTTACCTGCTTTGTTAGCACTTTAGCCTTGTGACATGATGCTTCCTCATCCCAGTAAATATGCTGCTCAGCAAACTGTGCCTCAATTGTTAGACCAAGTTCCCCCAGGAAGAAGTGTTAAACCCACACTTTATTCATGCCTGTGCTACTGGACAGAGTTGTGGGTGGGCCTACTTCATTAGATTAAAAGCAACATTTGAGTTAGCAGAATTTAGGGAAATATTAGCTCTTTTCTCTCTGGATTGGTAACGTGTAGATCATTTGAAGGATGAGTCATTAGAAAAAAAACTTCCAGTCTTATGGGTTCGATGTCTGTACCTCCTGCAACATTTCAGTCGTTCCCTGAACTTATTGTTTGACTGCATTGGCTTCTTCGTTCCTCTTGCTACAGGATTTCTTACATGAACCTCTCATATCACTGTGTCTGTAGAAGCAGTCGCATCCACTAGCTGATAGTCATTTCATTAAGTTCTACACGTTTAGAAACGTGAATCTGTAGGGAACTCCTTTGCACAAGGCCTTAAAACGCACTTCTAATACACAGAGGGAAGTTTCTTAACTCCAAATTTACCTCGTATTTTTAATGATCTGTAAAAACAGTTCACGAGTTTTATAAAGCAAGGAAAACAAAAAAATCTTAACACACTGCTATTTTTTATTATAGCAGGCTAATTGGTTTGTGAGTTAGATTGTCACGTTTCAACTGCAAACTTCACCATGTTGTGTTTGGATTTTATATGATACTCCAAACCAAAGCATTGCATATTGAGGAGTAGAAGTTAAAAAAATATGTGGAACCTGTGTGTGTTGAGCATTTGAATTCAGTCTTACTGGGGCAGATTTTCTAAGAACTGCCTTTAGAGTTCAGTTAGAGCTAGGGGTGTAAATCACATCCATCATGGCGATTCGATTCAGTATCGATTTCCTGACCCAACGATTCGATTATTTTCAATAATCAAAAATACACCACGATTCGATTCGATTAATCGGTGAAAAAATTTTTTTAGTATTATAATTTTTTTACAACTTACAGGCTAAACAAAGTTTCAAGTTTGAAATAAATCAATGAAAGTTGTAATATCGTTATGCATTTTTTAGAAACAACAGCAATTAACAGAAGTAGAAAAGTTGCATCCAAAAATACTGCAGAAAATCAGTGCAATGAGTGCAATGTAATACCTCGGCTCCAGAGTGTCGACGTCCCCGCCCCCTCCACAGACGCTCCGCTGCACCTCTCCCAAATTGTAGCTGACCGCAGACAGTGCTGCAGACAGGAGGCTGGCTTGTTTTGTTTTTATGACAGAAATTGCGGAAAACAACTCGTGAAGTTTGACCCGCTAGAAGAGCGAGGTGCGCGAGAACGCTGGGATCCTTTTTCCACCTGGATCTCCGCTCTTTTTGGCTCTCATGTCCCTCCGTCGTCGGACTAAACTCGCCCCCACTTCCTCGCCGCCTCGGCCGTATCTAGACCCACAGCGTGTAGCACAGACCACGCTGCAATATTGAGCATAATTTAAAAATGTCTGTGTCAAGCTTACTGCAACACACTGCTGTAAGAGTATAACCAGGAAGCGAGGTAGGAGGGTAAAATAGGTTTAGCGCCACCACAGTACGGGAGGGAGAATTACGCCGAGGAGCAAATGGATAAAAATAGACCGGAGGAAAAAAAAAAATGAATTGATTCTCTTGCGGACGTGTCAATGCATCGGATCGTCGGCTTTTGGATCGATGCATTGATCCAAAACGATTATTATTTACACCCCTAGTTAGAGCTGCACGTTTTCTTAAAAAACTGTCAGTTTAGCTAATTCCTTTTTGCAGAACAGCTCAAACTGTGTCCAACTGGGCCATGGAAATCTTGAAACGTCACGTCTTGCCTTAAATTCTCAGTTCGATTTAGCTTTAAGCTTTGACGAGGTCATTTTTACATTACATATGCTGTGATTAAGTCTATTGCTTTGCAGCCCTAGGTTTATACAGCTGGCCTTACTTTGAACCAGGCCTCTCTGGTTTCCACTCTGTAGTTGTGGAGTATATGATAGTTTTCCTTAGACAGATTTTCTCACATAGCTCCTCCACACTTACCAGGGGGGTCTGTGGTCATCAAATTTAAGTAAGGATTCTGGTATGCTCTTTGACTGAACCCTTCCAACATTACATGTGCTTTTTATTTTTTTTTTAACATTTTTACATCCAGTTGTGCTTTAAGGCAACATGGATTCAGAAAGTAAAATGCTCATACAGAGGTTATATCCAACGTCTGCTTTTTAAGCTCCATCTCATAGAAAGGGTCTGATCATCTCAAGAATTGAACAGGATGATAAAAAAACTACACAGGATTTTTACCTTCTGGATCTGAACTGTCCACCTCTGAGTTTAAAGTCATTATCCTGTGAGAAATTGAGCCTTAATCTCAGTTCGTCTCTCACAGCTCAGATCATTTCCCCTGTCCTTGCAAAGAAAATCGTTCCCACAGCATTATACTGACTCCATCATGCTTCCCCTGAAATGTCAAGACTAATGGTGGAGTTACTTAGTTTGAAAAAAAAAAAAATGCATTTGTCAAGTCCAAAAAAAAAAAAAAAAAGGAACTGGAAACAAAAATCTAAAGAAAAAGGATCTTTCTTTAAGGGCTGTAAACATATTGTTGTTTTAACAGGAACGGCTCCATCACTAGGTTTTCGCAATGTTGTGTCAGTGACTTTTCAACACAGTGAACTTTGCCCCCTATGATAAATTGGATATCGACCCTTTCTTTCTTCCTTACTAAATCATTAGGTGAAATGAAGGAAGTTGTTTTAATCAAATTCATAGAACGATTGATCTGTTTTCTCATTGTTGTTTTGTTCTCTGCTTCCTTTCAGCTCTTATTTTTACAGGGATTGTCATACAGCTGAATCCAACTGCAGGTGAGAAAGTAGTGAGCCACAGCCGTTTTAATTTCTGCTCCAAAAGTTGCATAATCTTTTATTTATTGTGTGTTTAAGGGGGTTACGCAGAAAGATAAACTGATTAAATATATTCCAATACTGGATAGTAAAAAAAGAATGTAATACATGTTTTACTGCAAAATACAAGATAGAAAACAACACATCACATCTGTTTATCATATAATAATGATGAAGTTAAGTAAAAAAAATAGTGGTTTATCTTAGAGCAGTAGTAGCAAACACGTCGTGCCTAATGATTTAGAGCTTGCAGATGCATGTACATTCTTGTCTTTATGAGGCCATAACATGCACTGCTTGGTTGGGTGGTGAAGTGGCTTCAGCAGTTCAAAGCCAAAGTTCAGGTGTTGCTATAGAGCTATGTGTTTTAATCTCTTCATGAAGGCCGACATCCCCTGCCGCGCTGCTTTTATGACTGCACTGCAGCCACAGGGTCTAAAAGAAAAAGGAAAGGTCAGGAGCTGGAAGTTTCCTCGAAATGGAGGCTTCAGACTTTCACACTGTGCTTCTGGCATCGTACAGTAGCAGCATTCTTTCATGCTTATAGGGCCGGATTTATCAAGATCCAATTTTGCGTGCAGTAATTTGCGCTCGCAAACTGGAATTTTGCGCGAGGGGCTGAACCATGGTTTGCGGGTGATTTAACAAGAGTGATTGCGTAACTGGTGGAAGGTGCAAAACTGTTGGAGACGCCCTATTTAAATGATGGTTTTGCGCGTTTTGTGGTTTGCGGCAAAGTAGTTTGTAGTCTGTACAAACTAGTGCATTAAGAAATTTAAATATTACAGTGACCCCCAACAAAAAAAAAATAAGTAAATATATATATATATATTTATAAATTGGCAACCTTTATTCCCTAAGGATGTATGTGCTGCAGTAAAAAGAAAAAAAAACAAAAAAAAAAAAACAGGTGTTTTGTATTGGCCTGTGACTGTGGATGGGATCCCCGCAGCATTTGGCACGTTGCTCCACAGGCGCAGGGGGAGAACCCCGACCCCGTCGGACAGCACTTCTGAAAAAACGAGATTGGGAGATCCCAGCTCTCGCTCCAACCGTACGCTGGAATGACCCAGATGCAAAAAAGTGCAATGTTGCAAGGAGTTTTGTGATATCTGGTATTGCGTGGGTCCTCCTTGCGGCTGGCTCCAAATCCATTCGGAGTTCCCCCAACAGCTCCAAAATGGCAATGCTGGATAAACGATATGTTTTGATGATTGTTTCCTCGTTCATTGCAAAAATATTCACACGGAGTGAAAAAATGCGTTCTCTGCGTCTCCTTGCTTTATTTCCATGTCTCCTTCTTGCGACAATAACTGCTGCCATGTGTGCGCAATTACGCATACAGACCATTTGCACCTTCTTTTGAAACGTGTTAAATATAGAGTCAGATACCGTTAGCAAAATTGCGTTCAAGTTTGATAAATCACTTTGCGAGTGCTAAATTAATATATTTACATGTTCTCCTCCCACAAGACGCACTTTAGCGTGTAAACGCCCCATATTGCATATTCATTGCAGAAAAAGTACTAAATGGATCAGAGGCGCTATTTAGCACGTTTTAAAGACCAAATGCTTTTAGCACGCTGTTGATAGATCAGTTTGTACATTTTTTAGCGTGCGCAGTGAAATAGCTCACGTTTTAATACACGCAAACCTTTGATAGATCCGGCCCATAGTGTTCCATGATTTTCCACATTCCTAAGGGATGCATATCACATGTTGCAATCGCTCTAGATGACATGATTCTGCTGGACACCTGGAGGTGCATTATTAGGAGAAACGGATCCCCAGCTCTAAACCCGAGTGGTGTTTCATTATTGGACTTCTGTGGAAGTCATGGATTATCCGTAATGAGCACCATGGTCAAGCACAATGATGTCCATCAATGCACTTGGCACCAGGACATCCTACGCTGGAGGTCAATGATCGATTTTGTGGTCGCATCTTCTGACCTTCCTTTTGGACACTTAAGAGTAGAGAGGCAGAGCTGTCCACCGATCAACACCTGGTAGGGAGCTGGATACGCTGGAAGAGGAGGAAGCTGAACTGACTCAGCAGGCCCAAACAAATAGTTAGGGTCTACGGGGAATGACTGGTGAAGCCCTTGGTCAGGGACGTATTCAACTCCCACCTCCAGGAGAGCTTCCCCCAGATTCTGGGGGAGGCTAGAGAGAAGTTGTCTTAGTGGAGAATTTTATCTGCGCCCTCTGTCGATGTGGCCACCTATAGCTGTGGCTGTAAGGTCTGTGGTGCCTGTTGCTGTGGCCTCAAAGTGATTCTGGCATATTGTCTGGTGCCTCTGGAGGGGGAAGCATTACTTTGCTTACACTTTTTTTTTTTGCGGGACGGCAGAGCTGCTAACCCTGAAAGAGGCGGAGGTAAAGATGGGGTGCTTGGGATCAGATTTGTTTATCACCAGGATGAAGTCACCGGGGTGGTCAAAAAACTCCACTTTGGCAAGGCTTGGGTTAGGTTGTGTTCCAACTATATGGGAATTGCACCTCCGGCTGGTTTTTGAACCTGACTTCAGGATGAGCAGTGGGTTTTCTGTCCTGGCAGTGCAACTCTGAACAAGCTCTATACTCGCTGCAGAATGCTAGAAGGTGCTTAGGAGTTTGCCCAATATGTTTTGTACACCTACAAAAGGAAATCAGAGCTGATTGATAAGGCAAAGCTCTTGATTAACTGGTCAGTCTACGTTCCTACCCTCAGCTATGGTCAGAAAATCTGGATGTACAGATTGTATTTCTGAGCAGGGTGGCTGGGCACTCCCTGCTCAGTCATCCGGGAGAGCCTCAGAGTGGAGCCACTTCTCCTCGCATCAAGAGAAACCAGTAGAGGTGGCTCAGACGTCTTTGTTTGGGACATCCCACTGGAAGCAGGCCCAGGGGATAACCGAACACACACTTGAGGGACTGTGTCTCTCAGCTGGCCTGAGAGCATCTTAGTCTTCCCCCAGCAGAGCTGGAGGAGTTATCTGGGGACAGGGATTCTGACCCAGTCCTGGTAAAAGTAGAAGATGACAACAGCAGTTCTTAAAAGTAAAGAAATTATATAGCAAACTTTAATTTATTCATACACGACGTATGACTCATGGATTTAAATACATATGCATTTAAATGTAGTAGTAAACCATCAGCTGTTTTAAACAAGTTGTTTTAAATGTTAATAGCTTTTGGCAGGAAGGATCTTCTGTAGCAATGTCTTACATTGTATCTGGAAAAGCCTTTGACTGGAGACACTGTTGTTTAACAGTCTTCTAAAAAGGACGTTCACTGTTTTTCCCAATGTTCTTAATTTTTATGAAGAATTCCTCTGTGAAATCTTCTCCAGAGGTTCTAGCAGTTCATTACCTTTCTGTGAGAGGTAATGACTGCAGAGTCATCTGAGTATTTCTGCAGGTAACAAGGGTCTTATCCTGTACTGGAAGTCAGAGTAGTATACAGATTAAAAATGAATGGTAAGAGTACCATCCCCTGTGATGCTCCTGACTACCTGATTAGACTGCTGACCCTTTTTGTCTCAAAAACAGTAGTCTTTGATCCAGGCATTGTTGATTCCTCCACCTGAGTCTTTTGGATTTTTATTTACCAAGTAAATCAGGCTGAATTATGTTAAATGCACTTTAGAAATCAAAGAACACAATCCTCACAGTTCTGTCTGCCTCGTCTAAGTAGGTTTTTGATGGCCTCTCCAAGTCCATGTTAATAAGTAAACGGCATAGGCCTTGATAGCTGTTTATTTGCATGCTCAGTGGACCAAGTCTCTCTTTAACCTTCATGGGATGTCAGGAACAACAGGTCTATAGTCACTGAGGACTGTTGGCTGGGTTTTCTTTGGTACTGAAGCAAGACTGGAGGTCTTCCAAATCACTAGAACCATCTCCAGGTCAGGCTGAGGTTGAAGAGGTGCTGTAGAATCCCACAGAGCTGCTCTGGACAGCCATTCAGGACTGTTGGGCTGACACCAACTGAACCTGGTGACTTATTGCGATTCAGGCTCTCCAGTTTCATCAGAATCAAGTTTATTGCCAAGTAGGTTTGCACTTACAAGCAATTTGACTTGGTGTTGATTGCGCAGACAAAACAGAATATAGAATCTAAAGCTATATACAATAAAACATACAATATACTATATGCAAAATATACTACATAGCTATATACTATATACACAGTAGTGTGCGTTAATGTAACGCAGAAGGTATGGAGATGCCAAGTTGGTGTAGCCTCTAGGTCAGAGGTGGGCAATTCCAGTTCCTGAGGGCCGCTATCCTTCAATTTTTAGATGTGTCTTTGGTTCATAACACCTGAATCAAATAATTAGATGATTGAGAGGACTCTGGAGGAAGTGACTGCATACTAAGGAGGTAACCGAGCCATTTAATTCAGGTGTGTTGGAGCAAGGATGGATCTAAAATTTGCAGGATTCCAGCCCCCAGGAACAGGAATTGCCCACCCCTACTCTAGGTCCTGACTTCTAGAAGCAGACAGATGGAAACAGGAGGGGGCAGCACCATCTTCTGAGTTGTCGTCTGATTGGTCTGAAAACAAATGCATAGAAGCAGGAGGGCCGATGACAGAGGTGGAAGATTAAACATTTGAGCTTACCCTTTGGATCAAAGGTGGGCGTGAAGTCCATTAGGCTGTGGACAGGAGAGAAGGATGCTGAGTTTGTTCCATAACAACCCTCTGAACAATGTATTAAGTTCACTGCCTCTGCAAAAACTCCCTTCCGTCTGATCATCCATCTTAATTCTTGAGCACAAATATCTGATATTGTTCTGCTTGAGCTTGCTTTTCAGCCTCTTCCTGTATGCCTTCTTGCTTTTATCTTGACCGTAAATTGTTTCTTTATATTCCTCAGCTCCCTGTCTCTCGTCATTTGGCTTTTTTTTTTTTTTTTTTTTTGTTTAGCAGTTCCCTAACTTCCCTCTTGATCCTGGGTTTGTTACTGGGAAAACATGCCACTCTTCTGGTGGGGATGATTATTTGTTTATTTATTTTTAAATCAAGATGATTTAATTTTTCTGATACCTTTTGAAGCAATGTGACTTTTTTATATTTACTGTGGTTTTGGCTCCGTCATTGAGCAAAAATAGAATTGACTTAAATTCTACTTTCGAGCTGTCTGCTCACCGCGGTCTTGTAAAAGCACTCCTTGATTATAATGCATATGAAATGCAGTGGATTGGAGCTGGACACAGTGAGAATTAGGGTAACTGTGACAAAGGAGGATCCAGGTTTACTCTACCCACAGATTAACCTAGTTTCTATAAAATACTTTGGATGCTATTACAAATCATTAAGGTGTTTGGAAGTAATATTAGTGCGAAAAAGAGTTTTGTTTTTGGTCCTTTCATTGTAGAAGTTATATTGTGGATTTTGATATAAATCATCTTAGTTTAAATTGGAAGTGTGAGTTTTGATCAAACCTCAGGTAAATTTGGTGAGTATGTGGAAAAGAGCCAAAGCGTGATGAAAGATTTGGGCTTTCTCTTCCAAAGACTAATATTAAGGCTCTGTACACATATTCAGCAGTTGTAATTGAGAAAAAAGTTTGTATCATCTGGTCATACAACATATGGCAATAATATCGTAATACTTTTAGACTATTAGATTTAGCTGAATAAACATGACATTACATTCAGTTGGTTTTTCTCATACACTGGAATTTATAGATGGATTAAAAATTGACACAGAAAAAGCTTTATATATCTGTTTCTAATATAGGATTTTTGTTTGCATTTGGAAACCAAACCAAAAATGTGTCTCCTTGTCCTTCTCATTGTAGTAAATCATAAACATCAGCCAAACCATGTAAGACAAGATCACCTTTATTCAGGAACATCAGGTTAAAAAAGTAATGTTATTTATATAAATCTTAAATGTTATTTATGCAAACCTTAGCTAATAATGATAAATGAATGTTTGGTTGTGATGAATAGTATAACTTCAGCAGGTCTGTCAATAATGACGATATTCCCCACAGGTGTTTCTAGTGCCATTTTCTTTGTGCCTGGGTCGCTTCTTTTTATTCCTGGAGGTAAGTTGATCTTTTGTTTTACTAAACATTGCTTTTAAACTGATGCTGGTCATCTCACCTGTTCATGGATTTTGTGCCTTTTGTTTCTTTGTCCGTTTAATCGCCTTTTAAAATAACTAGATCTTTTCACCAGCAGGGGGCACTCTGGGTTATTGGTCAGTGTTGATAAAGCTGTCATATTCTGGGCCAAATGGGTATAGAAACCAGAAATTGGGGTTTCTGCAGCATCTTTGAAAAGCAATTTAATCAGCATTTATCTAATGCTGATTCATTATTTCTTCCTACAAAGTCCTTAGCTAAATCTGTTTTTCCTTCTTTTATTTTAACCCATTTCTTAGTCATTCATAAAAAAAATGTGCTAGAAGCAATTACCTGTTCCACATGTTACAGCTTAGTGTCACTATACAATAAAAAATATTACATTAAAGGGCATAAAAGGAAATAATTTATTACCAAAGAAAGTAGTCCTTTTCACAAATCTTGACAAGTAATACATTTTTTTTTATTTGTTTAGTGAGTTTGGAATTGGACGTTCTTGTTCCCTGAATGACTCCTTTGTGAGAGTGGATGTGTAAAAGGGTGTAAAAGATGTTAAAGTTTGGTAGCATGAGTTTAAAAAAAAACTATTTCAACTGTCTGAAAGAAAATCTCACTGAGACATGTTTGAAAATATTTTTTCACCTGCTAGTATGTTAATGAGTAAGGTAGGTTAAATAAATTGCCTAATTTAATACATTTAAAGTTTAAATGTAAGTCGTAACCTGTTATTTTTTATTCATACAATCTTTTGGAAATAGACTCTAAATTCATATCTAATCATTTTCAGTAGAAAAAGAAAAATCATTTACCCCCCCTTTTCATAACGCTTTTTTTTCTCACCAGAGTGCTCACAAGAATTTCATTTGCAGGTCAATGTGCAATCATCTGGATGTAGCATTAGCAATGGTAGTAGTGTGCCGTGATTTTTTTAACCATTTTTTACACAGGATTTTACACAGTAGGAGAAAAGTTACACAACCAGCAACCCTAACAGACTGGCTAGAGTGGTGATAGCAAGGTGACCTAATGTTAGTACCCTTCCACTATTGTCTTCAGTAGAGGAAATGGACCAAAATCATGCTTTGTGAAGTGTGTCCACTACAGTTCTATTAGGACATGCATTTGCATTGCAAGCATTTTTTATTTGACAATAAATGTATATCCTCCACAAAAGAAAAGAAATAGATTGATACCCTTTGGTTTAAAGCTACAGTGTGTAATTTTCAGCGACATCTAGCGGTCAGACTGCAGACTGCAGCAACATGAACGTCTCCCCCCCACCGCTTCTCCCCCCCAACAGTACGGCGAGCGTTACGGGACAAAATGTCTTCCACGACGTCCGCATCACCTACCTTCTCAAGTGATGAGGTTTGTTTACATAGATAATTTTACAGATAGTATTTCATTAGTCTGTGTAGGGTATAGATTTCATGTAGACTTAAGATAATAAATATACCCGTTATTTTTTCTACATCGTTGTGACGTTTTGGTGAGCTGCTTTGCATGGTGATATAAACAGACGAAGTAATTGTAGTCATTAGTTTAACAGCGAGATTGTGTTCGCTGGAAGAATATATATTCCCCGTTTACAGAGTCCAAGTCTTGTTTGTGGCACGGGGGTTACAAGGCAAGGAAGAGGGAAAGGAAGAGGGCAGAGAGGCCGGGGTGAGCGTGCAGCTGGGGCCAGGCGAGAGAGGGGAGCCAGCGGGGTGAGAGCAGAGGAGGAAAGGCTTGAAGATCTCCAAAGGAGCCGGAGAGAAGTAACCGAGGTATATATCCAGAAAATTATTTTACAGAAAATTACTGAATCATTACCTGTGAAACGTCAGGGACGTTGCTGAATAAGTATACTGGAGAGTAACAGCATCATCACGCAGCATGTTATTGTTTTAGACAGGTCTGAGCATCCTGTACTCCAAAAACTGCAGTGATATTAGACAATTGTGTGTATAGGATTAATTACCTGTCCAAGAGAAAACTGGCAACTTGAGCGTCACTTTGAAAACCTTTTTCCTCCATCAGTAACTTCCATCGTGTAAATGCCGTGCCAATGTTGATCCGTGTTTTTTGTCGTTTCTTGTCACTCTTGCGTTTATTCTCGTCGTGTTTCCGCTTCTTAGATGACGGGGGTTCGGTGTCCGCCGCTTTTCGTTGTGATACAGAGTAGGCATGATCCTCCATTCGTCTGATGTTTGGCCACACAGTGCCAAACAGTTTGCAAAGTCACTCACGCCTGCCGCCTTGTTTACCTTTCTTGTTACTGAGGCGCAGTATACCTGCTTCTTCTTCTTCTTTGGTTTCAGGCAGACTAAACGCTTCTCAGGCATAATACTGCCATCTACTGTTCAGTACCGTCTCAGTTCATCTCTCTCAACTTGCCGTAGTTACTTTCGAGCGTCATGGGAGATCTCGCAATCGCTAGTTTGTTGCCTCTGCGCTGCCGTAGCGCAAAGATATCTGCCTCCATGGCTGCGAGACCCGCTCCTATGTAATTATAAATAACGAATTCTAAGGCAACGCAAATGTTATGGTTAAAAGGCTGAGCTCATAGGTGATGATAAATAACATAGTTATGTATAATATATTAAATTTCTGAATTTATATGCCTGTAATTATTACACACTGTAGCTTTAAGTGCAGGGGTCAAAGGGTATTTGCTTATAGGTATACATTTGAGGATAAAAGTGAAAAAAAGGTTACCTTTGGGTTTAAAAAATGTTAAAATTAGACAAACTGACTCTTGAGTCCTTTTAAACATTTTCTTTGTTTTGTTTTGTAATTAACTGTCATTTTCTGTATTTCCTAGCATATCATGTGATCTACATCACCTGTGCTGTCCAGGGTCGGAGAGGCTTCAAATTTTTCTACTTGCCTTACTTTGAAAAATGAAATCACATTCCACATTACATTTCACTCCATTTCTGTTTCCTTAATGTTGCAATGAACTGTAGTTCATGAATTGTATCAAAATGTAACGTCACACTGTTGTTATTGCTTTGTTTTGTTTTTTTATGTTAATGACCACTGCTACTTGGACCACTTGGTGCCATGACTACATTTCCTCTACAGGTGCTGGTCATAAAATTAGAATATCATGAAAAAGTAGATTGATTTCAGTAATTCCATTTAAAAAGTGAAACTTGTATATTATATTCATACATTACATACAAACTCATATATTTCAGATGTTTATTTTGTTTAATTTTGATGATTACAAATGACAACAAATGAAAATCTCAAATTCATCATATCAGAAAATTAGAATATTACTGAAGACCAAAAAAAAACAAAGGATTTATAGAAATGTTGGCCAACTGAAAAGTATGAACATGAAAAGTATGAGCATGTACAGCACTCAGTATTTAGTTGGGCCTCCTTTGGCCTGTATTACTGCAGCAATGCGGCGTGGCATGGAGTCGATCAGTCTGTGGCACTGCTCAGGTGTTATGATAGCCCAGGTTGCTCTAATAGTGGCTTTTAGCTCTTCTGAATTGTTGGGTCTGGTGTATTGCATCTTCTTCTTCACAATACCCCATAGATTTTCTATGGGGTTAAGGTCAGGAGAGTTTGCTGGCCAATTAAGAACAGGGATACCATGGTCCTTCAACCAGGTACTGGTAGCTTTGGCACTGTGTGCAGGTGCCAAGTCCTGTTGGAAAATGAAATCTGCATCTCCAAAAAGTTGGTCAGCTGCAGGAAGCATGAAGTGCTCTAAAACTTCCTGGTATGTGGCTGCGTTGACCCTGGACCTCAGAAAACACAATGGACCAACACCAGCAGATGACATGGCACCCCAAACCATCACTGACTGTGGAAACTTTACACTGGACTTCAAGCAACGTGGATGAAGTGCCTCTCTTCTTTTCCTCCAGACTCTGGGACCTTGATTTCCAAAGGAAATGCAAAATTTACTTTTATCAGAGAACATGACTTTGGACCACTCACCAGCAGTCCAGTCCTGTTTCTCTTTAGACGCTTCTGACGCTGTCTGTGGTTCAAGAGTGGCTTGACACAAGGAATGCGACAGCAGAAACCCATGTCTTTCATACGTCTGTGTGTGGTGGTTCTTGAAGCACTCACTCCAGCTGCAGTCCACTCTTTGTGAATCTCCCCCACATTTTTTAATGGGTTTTGTTTCACAATCCTCTCCAGGGTGCGGTTATCTCTCTTGCTTGTACACTTTTTTCGACCACATCTTTTCCTTCCCTTCGCCTCTCTATTAATGTGCTTGGACACTGAGCTCTGTGAACAGCCAGCCTCTTTAGCGATGACCTTTTGTGTCTTGCCCTCCTTGTGCAAGGTGTCGATGGTCGTCTTTTGGACAACTGTCAAGTCAGCAGTCTTCCCCATGATTGTGTAGCCTATAGAACTAGACTGAAAGACCATTTAAAGGCTTTTGCAGGTGGTTTGAGTTAATTAGCTGATTAGAGTGTGGCACCAGGGGCCATCAATTTTGAACCTTTTCACAATATTCTAATTTTCTGATATGATGAATTTGAGATTTTCATTTGTTGTCATTTGTAATCATCAAAATTAAACAAAATAAACATCTGAAATATATGAGTTTGTATGTAATGTATGAATATAATATACAAGTTTCACTTTTTAAATGGAATTACTGAAATCAATCTACTTTTTCATGATATTCTAATTTTATGACCAGCACCTGTACATGAACTAAGGTTGCTCCATACACACATACAAGGAGATTGGTCTTGCCTGTGGTTTTAGTGTTGTGTGAAAAATGTCTATGAATTGAAAATAAAATTGTGCATATTTTGAATTTTCTCAGAGTTATTGTGTGTTTATTAAGGCTTCTAATCAGCACATATCCTGTATAATTGCAATGCCAGATTCATTCTAATATTTTATTTGATTTTTTTTTGTAAACGGAAAATTCATGCATCAGGGAATGTTTTGGGAGTTCTAGTAAAATTATGCACAAACTGTAATTCCTTTTGAGTTTTTGTCTAGTCCAGGGGTGTCAAACTGGTTCCAGAAAGGGCCGTGTGGCTGCAGGTTTTCTTTCCAACCAAGCAATAGCACACCAGACTCCTATCATCTCATCAAGTGAGTCCAATCTGAACATGATGACATTATGAAATGACTGGAGTCTGGTGTGCTATTGCTTGGTTGGAAACAAAACCTGCAGCCACTCGGCCCTTTCTGGAACCAGTTTGACACCCCTGGTCTAGTCTATCCATTCAGTTCAGTTTATTTAAATACCACCAATGCACAGAACATGTCATCTCAAGGCACTTTACAGAGACGATTCAACCAGATAATTCCATCAGATTGGTTCAAAGTTTTCTATCTATGGAAAACCAGCTAATCGCATTGACTCATTTACTCAACAATCCCTCACACAGAGGATGCTTGTAGCGACGGTGGAGAGGAAAATCTCCCTTTTAACAGGAAGAAACCTCAAGCAGAACCAGGCTCAGTATAAGCGGCCATCTGCTTAGGCCGACTGGAGTTCAAGGAGACAGAAGCAGAGATACAAAATGTACTTGTTAACCAGCTTCACAGGTGGCTCCGTCCTGGAAATACACAGCCAGGCAGACAAGCTCCGAGCCAGCTCCCATACCAGAGGATGAAGAGAGCCAATCCAGTTAGTCACAGTCAGAGAGACAGGACTACAATGGAAAACAGGCCAAGCTCCAACATTTATAAACAAAGGTGCTGATGGCAGCCACACAGCTGATATTTCTCTCCAGGATGATGTCACAGCCAAACAGAAACAGATTAGGCAAAGCTACTATGAGAAAAGGCAGAGAGAGCAGAACGTTAGAGATTAAACTAATAGATTCTGCAGAGTGGGAGAATAGAGATAGAATGAAGTAAAATAATAAAATAGTGGTCCCTATGTCTTCCAGAAGTCTAAGCCTATAGCAGCATAACTATAGAGATAGCTCAGGTCAGAGCTATCTCTATACCCGATAGCTCAGGTCAGAAGGTAATTTTCACAATCTAACATAACATAATAACACGTTCATATAATTTGCTGCAATTGGGTTTTATATTTAGGGTTGCCCAGGCACAGGGGACTAAATATAACCAACAGACTATATTGTTATCCTTGATTAAATGTCCTCCCAGTTTATTTTTCACAGACATTCTGGTAGAAACCAGATGTTTGGGCTCGTAACATGAGAAAAGTCCAAGGTGTCTGAATACTTTTCTAAAGCACTGTAGGCTTGTATAAAATAATTTGCTTTGTAAGCTACTGAGCTCTGAAATATGTGACAGGTTCTTACAAACCAATAAAATATAAACAAAAAAGTGATTTATTTTTGAAGTTGATTAAATTCTATACTTTACGAGTTTACCAGCTATAAGACGAAAAAAAAAAAGTTTTTGTTTTTTGTCTTGTTTTTCCTGACATCTTAGCCCTGGAGATGACGTACCAAGTTACGAAAGCAGCAGCTTCGGCAAACATCGGCATTTTCCGCGAACGGTTAAGGATGGAGGAAGAGGGACGCAAGCTTCTCGAAGAGGGAATAAGAAAGAAACTTATAAGTCCTGGGAGAGGAGAGCTGTCGACATTTCCTAATGGAACCAAGGTAAAAACAAAACCAAAAAAATATTACACTGTAGAAGGAGGGGTCGCCTTTTATTCAGAATACAGGCATTAGTTGGAGACAAGGAGAAGGCAGGCTAGCAAGCAAAATGCTACCACCGTGATATCCTTTCTAAGTATCCCCAAATGTTTGTTTGACGACTATGATACAGAGCATCCCAGACATTCATTCTTTAACCTTTCGAGTTTATCAGACTAGGTGTTTGAAATCAACCCCTTTTAGTTGTGTCTGTTAAAAATCCTTACTTATTTTCATCCCCTATTTTTTTTTCTGTACTGTAAAGCTAGTGGGCGGAGAAGAAAAAATCCTAGACGCTGATTCGTCGATTTTCCATGTCAGTTAAATTTCCCGCGTTGTGATTTGTCAGAAATACGATGACGTAAAACGTTATTTAGGCCTGTCAGAGACGAGTTGATAATTTAGTTGTTTGCGGTGAAAATACACAGTCAGTTGCCCTGATGTTTCCTGTGATCACAGCAGCAGTTCCTGACCAATCTGTTTGTCTCATCAGGTGGTTTTCCACTACCGCAGCAGCCTCTGTGATGGCACAGTGCTGGATGACTCCAGGACCATGGGGGGTCGCAGTAAACCTATGGAGCTCATCTTGGGGAAGAAGTTCAAGCTGGCTGTGTGGGAAAGAATAGTGATCACCATGAGAAAAGGCGAGGTGGCAGAGTTTACCTGCGACACCAAGGTAGTGATGCTGCATCATCCATCTGCTTCCTCACATTTAGTTTGATTTTGACCACAAACTTTAATGTTTTTCTGTGACACACTGACATAAAGTAATGCATACATATAAAGTGAGCACATTGGTGTGATTATGACTAGCATAATGACCGTTTAACAATAAGGTATAACTTAAATAGATTGCACTATAGTTAAGTGTTTTATAGGGTTTTTGCCATGCTGGAGGGTGAAACTTAGTCCCAGCCTCAAGTGTTTAGATGCCTCTTATAGGTTTTCTTACAGGATTCCCATTCGGCATTCCTTTATTCTCACCAGGATCCTTATTATTTGTAAATAAGTGCTTCCCCAGGGTGTGAATAAGCTCCAACCTTCATGTTTCACTGCATGGATGATATTTTCAGGGTGATGTGCACTGTTACTTTCTCACATGCACATCAAAAAGTTCCCAAATGAGCCGTTTGATCACTATTTCCTTAAAGGCTGGGTAATTAATTGCATTTGCAATGTAATTGTAATTTAACAAATCGCAAAACCATTTGGTGATGGTAATACACTTAGACCCCCCCCACACACACACAAACACACACACACACACAGAGCGAAAGAAACAGTTGCAGCTAGTGTGCAAATCCGTACAAGCTAATAGAAATAAAAACTTTTCCACATAACAGTAACGTTAAAGTCCTGTGACAATGGACTGTGGGCAAGTAAGCTTTCGTGGTCATGAAGACAGTGCAACACTGTAGACAGTGCAAAGGAAACTTAAAATTAAATCATATTCACAACTTTGGTGGAGACGATCGCAGTTTTGATTTCGGGCAAAATGGTTCAGCCCTTCTCTCCATAGAACCTTCTTCCATATGTTGTGTTGTTTAGATCCATCTATGGATCAAAAGGTTTGAATTATGAATCAACAACCGTTTGGGGCTTTGGGATCCTCTTCAATAATCAGTTAACAAAAAATACTGTTTGGGCATATTTATTAAATGCATGATAGAAATGATATAACAGTTTAACAAGATATTTACAAATTTGCATCAGATAATATTCTCTTTGGTGAAAACAGAAAGGTTTGAAAACTACAGTTGTACATGACTGCATTAATTAGCTAACTTCTGATAGGTGGTGGTTGCTCTTGATTTTATTTAGTGGTGTTTGTGTCCCGATACCACGTTCTTATTTTAGATACAATACCCATATTGCAGCTTTGAGATTGGCCAATACCAATATTGACCCGATATGATACGAGCACGAATTATACTGGCTTGATCAAGGCTTGATCAAGTAATATTACTAAAATGGGGAACAAAAGTCAACAACAAAAGGTATGAAAACAGCTAACCCATGTAAAAGTAACCAATGATTTAGATAAACTTTTAACAAAAGCAGGGTGTTCCCATCAGCATGAAAATTTCAGAGATTTGAAATGCCGGCCGAGCTAGTTAGTTTTTTCGGCTAAAATTGGTCCGATGTTAATATTGCAATAGGGCATCACTATTCAGCAGTATCCAAGTAAAGGCGGGTGAACACAGATAAATGCTCCACTTTTCAGATTATCTCTGAAGAATAAAAAAAAAAAAAAAAAATGCAGATCGGTCGTTTCCTATTTTGTGTTTGTCTATGACATAAAATCCTAATCCATTGTTTGTGGTCGCACAAGACGGAATGGAAAAGAAAAATCGAAGGATTTCAATATATTTTCCATATCAGTGTAGATTTGCTTCTTACATTTTTCATTGCTGCTCACGTTTTGTTTTTTGTCTGTTTACAGCACACAGCACTCTACCCACTCGTGTCCCAGTCTCTGAGAAACATAAGCGTTGGTAAAGATCCCCTGGAAGGCCAGAGGCACTGCTGTGGCATCGCTCAGATCCATTCCCACCACTCTTTAGGGCACAAAGATCTGGATCATCTACAGGCCAACCCACAGCCCCTTGTCTTTGCTATCGAGCTGCTGGAGGTGAGCCAGCAGTGGGCAGCATCTAGTCCTAATGCCATCTATTAGTTAGTGCTAAGGTTATATTTAACATATATATAACTGTTTTTTGGGGGTTTTTTGTAATATAAAATGAAACAAAAATGAGGAATACATTTTGAAGGAATTGTTAAGCACATGTTTGTAGTTTTGAATAGAAGCATATTTGTTTGGACAAAAACAACAAAATCTAATCAGATTTAATTAAGCTGGCACATTAAAGGATGGAGTTTTGAATGCAAAAATAGCAGTAAAAGATAATTAAATAATTAGAAATTGAATTTAAGATATAATATGTAAGAAATATAATTATAAATACAGAAAATAACAAAACCTGTAATGTCATTAAAGTGATGTGTCTCTGTCTCAGGTCCTCCCTCCTGGTTCCTACCAGCTCGACATGTGGGCCATGACTGACAAAGAGAAGCTGGACGCCGTGCCTCAAATCCATGAGAACGGAAATTCACTCTTCAAAGAGGGCAAAATTAAGGAAGCCTCAGAGCAGTACTACAACGCCATCGCCTGCCTCAAAAATCTGCAGATGAAGGTTTGGGAGCAGTTTGATTTACATGTAGCTCTACTGGGTTTGCTGTAGGAGGGATAAAAAGCTAGGATCTATGTGCAGGAGCATCCTGGAGATGAAACCTGGATAGAGTTGGACCTAAAGATCACACCACTGCTTCTTAACTACTGCCAGTGCCTGCTGCTGCAGGGCCAGTACTACGAAGTCATCGATCACTGCTCTTCGTTGCTCTCCAAATTTGAAGGTAAAGCTTGACTTCTTTTGGTCCCCCCAATAATGTTGGTTCATTAATAGGGCAAAGAAGCACAGCGGATGACATCATCTCCTGAAAAACACCCAATAAGGGTATACTAATGTATGATGCTGATGGCTTATTGGGTATTATACATATATATATATATATATTAGGGATGCGCGATATAATCGGCGCCCTATCGGTATCGGCCTTAAAACTGAATATCGGACATCGGCCACCCCACCGATATTTAACCCGATATTTGATCAGCTTCTGAGTTTCTAAAGTCTAAAAAAAAAAAAAAAATACTACTACTTCTTCCTCAAAAACTTCTTTTTTACAGACTTAAAAACTTCTAAAGACGAGGGAAAAAATATTGATACATTAAAATATCACAATTTCTTCATATGCTGATATATTGCCATTTAAAAACACCATATCAATCTCTTTTACTAATGAAATATTGCTATACGTCATCGTTTTGCTAAGAAATCCCCCGAAAATTCACGAAATTTTGACATATTTTTATATGTTGATATATTGACACGGTATCGATCTATTTTACTAACAAAATCTCACAAGAATTTGCAAAATATCACGAGAGTTTTTAACAGAACGATGAAATTTCACCAGATTTTGAAAGTAAAATAGATTGATACCGCGTTTTTAAAAATCTATTTGATATCAGCATATGAAAATATATTTTAGTATATTACTTTTCAAAGTGTTAGAAATGGAGAACAAAACTGCTATTTTCAATGACTACTTATTTTTGTCCAGCTTTAACATCGGTATCTATATCGGTTATCGGCTACATGAGTTTTAAAATATAGGCATATCGGATATCAGCCAAAATCCCAATATCGTGCATCCTTAATATATATAAATATAAAAGCTCCATCCAGCTGTGCCTTGATGGTTTTTTAAGGACAAATCTGATGTTTTCTTAAACATCAGCGAACTAGAATACATTTTAATAAACAAAAAGTGAACCATTTTTCTGAATATTCTGATTTAATCCTTTTCTTCCTCCATTTATGTTAAAAATTACACAATAATATTCCACATTTAAGTCTACTAATCTCAATAAAGCAATAGAGGAAAATTGAGAAATGAAAATACATGGAATCCTGTTGACATGATTTTTTGGCATGGCTGCTGAACACAGTAATGAATCAGCAAACGCAAAAAACACAAAGCTAATATATGCCAAAAATATTAGCTGGCTGATGTTTCGGTCTATTTTTTTTAACCAAATATTCTTCCTGGCAGAAATTGCATGAATGGATACATTGTTTATAATAAACAGCTTATTTTTAGAGTTCCTACACATCTGAATATATCTCTGCAAGTATTTTAAAAGTCCAATAAATCTGGAAAAAAATTGTTTCTCGACCTAACATGAAAATGTGTTTAACCTGCTTTAACCTTTAGTGCTTTTAAATTTTTAAAAACAATTATTTTGTGGGGGGCAACAATCTTCCTTTGATATACAGGTGCTGGTCATAAAATTAGAATATCATGAAAAAGTAGATTGATTTCAGTAATTCCATTTAAAAAGTGAAACTTGTATATTATATTCATACATTACATACAAACTCATATATTTCAGATGTTTATTTTGTTTAATTTTGATGATTACAAATGACAACAAATGAAAATCTCAAATTCATCATATCAGAAAATTAGAATATTGTGAAAAGGTTCAAAATTGATGGCCCCTGGTGCCACACTCTAATCAGCTAATTAACTCAAACCACCTGCAAAAGCCTTTAAATGGTCTTTCAGTCTAGTTCTATAGGTGGTCGATGGTCGTCTTTTGGACAACTGTCAAGTCAGCAGTCTTCCCCATGATTGTGTAGCCTATAGAACTAGACTGAAAGACCATTTAAAGGCTTTTGCAGGTGGTTTGAGTTAATTAGCTGATTAGAGTGTGGCACCAGGGGCCATCAATTTTGAACCTTTTCACAATATTCTAATTTTCTGATATGATGAATTTGAGATTTTCATTTGTTGTCATTTGTAATCATCAAAATTAAACAAAATAAACATCTGAAATATATGAGTTTGTATGTAATGTATGAATATAATATACAAGTTTCACTTTTTAAATGGAATTACTGAAATCAATCTACTTTTTCATGATATTCTAATTTTATGACCAGCACCTGTACCTGTAAACTGTAGCAGAATGTGCAAAACGATTTGCTTAAATTAAAATGGTTGAGTGGCTCATTAAAAAGGATAAATTAAACGTGTTGTTTTGCCACAGAACAGCTCGGTTAGTTTTGTTTGTTAATTTTTTTTCGTCCTCCCAGATAACGTGAAGGCCTACTACAAACGGGGAAAAGCTCACGCTGCAGTTTGGAACGACAAAGAGGCCCATGCAGACTTTGCTAAGGTCTTGGAATTGGACCCGTCCCTGGAAGCATCGGTGAACAGGGAGCTGAAGGCCTTGGAGGAGAGGCTCCGCTCCAAGAAGCAGGAGGAAAAGGGTCGTTATAAGGGCTTGTTCGACTTCAATGCACAGCCAGCTGCAGCCACCACAGTCAGTCCATTCTGAGTTTGCTTCGCTCTATATGTTGTTTCTATAAGCAGGCATTGATCTGAAGAAACTCTTCTTTCTTTCTGCAGGGTTGAACATCAGAACAGACGGAGACGAAGATGCCAATGGATCTGGCGGATAAGCAGGAGAACATTCCCGCCGTTTTAGTTTTACCTGTGCACTTCAGCCAAACATATTGCCAACCTTCTCCTCTTCAGGTATACATGCAGGCACCACAAGCATTTAAGCCCTAATCCTCTGAATTCACCGTCTAAATGTGGCTCTGTGGAGTGACTTTAACGGCCCGTGGAATCAAGTCAGTGCTGCATGTTTCATTTAGAGGAGATCCTTTTTCTTTATTTATTTAAGAAAGAAGATAAGTGCTGATTCATGAATGTTTCAGTTGAGATTTTCTGGATTTTCTCCTGATGGAGAATTCACTTTTTTCCTAATCCCCCCCCCCCCCCCCCCATTTTGTTTCATATGGACTTGGAGCCAATATGTGATGCAGTCTCTTTCCGTATGTTTTTTTTTTTTTTATATCTCCACTGCTGGTATATAATCTTTGTAACCATTGCTGCGTCCTTGTACAGATGCTATACTTGCAAATAGTTTTGCTTACATGCACACATCCTTGACAAGTCTGTTAACTCAAGCACTAATTTTTATTTTATTTTTTTTTTGTGGAAAGGTAAACTAGACATGAAGCCCCAACGGTTTGACAATCATTAAATTAATTCTAAAGCGCCCTCCTATGTTTTTATTTCCTGTAATGAAAAAGGTCTTATTTGAATCAGCATCTTTGTTAGCTACTTTGAAGATATTCCTTACTTCATATTTGAAAGAGCCTGTTAGCTTTTTTGAGCCGTTAGCAAAGTGGTGATGATGTGTATGAAAATAAATTTGTATTTAATCCCCAGCCTTGGATTTGTTTTTGTCTTTTAGAATATAATTTCACCAAATAAGTTGTAAATTATAATAGCCTCTCTTACAGCTGAGCTCAGGCTGGTAATTATACCAATGGAAAAATGTTTTATGCTGATCCTAAATATGTTTAACTTTCTTTAGTGAGATGCAAAAATAATCAAGACAAAAAAAAAAACTTTTCAAATTATTTAATTAAGATATACATACTGAATTGCAAAAATCTGGTTTACAAAATTTCCTTGCTAAAAAAATGACTTGATGTAAAGAGTTCCTGGGAATGAGGGAATTCTGATGTGAGCTTTTATGACAAAACCTAAACAACTAAAATGTCCAAAATCAACACAGATTGGAGCAATTTGAACATTGATTGCATTTTCTGTTGAAGGAAATAAAAAGGAGCCAACTTTTCAAGTCAATTTCTGTTATTTCCTCAAATATTGACTCGAGCTCAAGTTCCAAATTCTGACCAATGGTACAAAATTGGTTTTGCATATACCCCACATGAGGCGGAAAGAGTAACAGATGAATTTGATGAAATGTTGAAAAGGGGAACATGATGTACCCATGAATGATCACAAATAAAGCTCAAGGTAGGAGGATGAGGAGAAGGAAAGAAAGGGAGGAGTTTCCAAAAGGGTTATGTGCGGGCGCTCCTCTCCGTTTCTGCAAGACACTCTCTGACCAGTGCGCGGGCGTGGATTATACCTGAAGGAGAAAAGAAAAGAAAATTAGTTTCAAAGTTATTTGTAATGTATAAATCAAGAAACTCCCATTGTTTCCAAACAAACGGAACAATTCCTCCAACCACTTTCTCTTGTTTCAGAGCTTTGAACTTCCCAACATAGTTCCTTATGCTATAACCAAAAACACCAAGTAAAAGATTATTTTCCTAATTCCACACAAATAAAAATCTTCAAAGTTTTGTGAGCATTTTTAAATTAAATACAGAGCCAAACAGCACCTTATAAAGTTAATCAATTCATCTTTGTATAATTTAATCCCAGTTATGATTTAGAGTTTGTTTGTTTAAGGACCAAACAGTAGAAGGACCAAAGCAGAGATGTTTAAAGCAGGGTTTGCTTATATAAAATAGAAATACCTCTCAATGGGGGAATACGGATGTGAAGGTGAAGCTTAAAACCTAGTCTTAAGATGTACAGCAAATACAGAAATGTGGAAAAATTTTGTATTCAGGTGGAAATTAGAACTTTCTAAAAAGAAAAAAAAGCAGCTGGTTTACAGACAGACTGAAAGAATAGAAAAACACTTTCAGAGCAGGTGGAAAAATTATTCATTATCTTCTGAGGAGGTAAAAGCTTTGATGTAAAAAAAAAAAGTTTAATTAACCAGAAAAGAAACTGAGCAAAAATACATTATGTATGAGGAAAAAGACAATCAATCAGGTAGAAAAACTTAAAGCATGGTTTTACTTGTAAACGTTTCTTTTACTTGCTGGGAGCAGCAAAGTCTGTATCCCCAACAGAAAGAATATAAGAATACCCTAGAGGAGCTGTAGATATTAACAGTTCAGGTAGAAGAATCATTTGAGTAACAACACCCTCATGTAGATATGCTTTTGCTCTGCAGGCAGATAGAAGCTTGTCTGTATATATGAAGACAGACATGTTGGAAAAGCTCTCAGATCCTGCTAAGGTCATCTTTACAAGCTTCAACGTACAGCCAGAGCTAAAAGGGGACGGTTTGCATAAACCCCACATGAGGCATCTTCTTGACTTTGAATGGTCCAAGTCCTGCCAAAACTCTGGGGTAGGATTTGAAAACATGATGTTCAAAAATGTATTTAATCCAACCCAACCAAGCATGAGTCATGATGCAAAGGAGAAATTACAAAGATGTTAGTCTTTAGATATGCAGATATCGAAAGAAGACAGAATTTAGTTAAAAGCTCTAAATAAAGATTCAGAGTCCATTAGGTACAGATATCTTAGTAAGGGGCTGTAGCTACAGATCTCTGTTTATAGACTGAAAATATATTGAACCTGTGTAGGTACCAGATCTGCTCGGGTCCTGCTTCATGCCAGTGACGTTACGCTACATGATTGGCTGAACGTCGCCACATGATGTAAAACATAGTGGTTGCCCAGACAATAATAACATCACACAGCGTCCGTGTGCTAACATCTGTAGCGTTAGCGTGTCTAATGACCCATGAAGTTTTAAGTTTGATCGATAACAAAACTGAAAAAAATCTGTTTCTGGTGAACAAAGTAACTGTTAGACCGTGATATAAAGGGGGAGAGCTGGGTAGCGCTGTGGCTACCTGTGTTCAGTAGCTAACAGGTTAGCCTATTTTAGCTCAGCCAGTTAGCCATATTAAGCTACACTACTTTTGAATTTGTATCAACAACAACTGTTCATTTCCAACGAGTAGAATAATTGTTTTATTTGTCTAATATCTATATGAAAGTCATTTTTAAAGATGCTCCATTTGTCCTCCTCTACCCTCAGATCTTAATAAAAAGAATAAAAATAAGCTGAGACTTTTTTGTCACCTTGGTAAATGGCAGAGATCAGTCTGTCGTAGAAGGCAGTACTTTCCTTCTAGACTGACAATGATTGCTTTCTACTTTCGACTACTTTAGCTCGCCAATTAAATATAAAATTATAGCAAATATAGGTGATAATATATGGAAAATCCAAAAGAGATTTGATCCTTAAGAAACGGGTGCAATAGTGGAGTTGCCATATATTGAGGTAATAAGAAGGGGCAGGGCCCTGAGCAGATCTTGTACCTACATCGGCAGGAATTGAACAACTTTCCACGACACCCATCCACATGTATACTGAGACAGCTGACAACAAGGAATACCTCTCTTTAGCCTCTCCATCGCACTCTTGCTCCCAGCATAGGTAGGCCTGATCTCACGGCTCATCTCCTCGATGACAGACAGCAGCTCGCTGTAGGTGGACCCTTGGGACACTTTGACCGGCTGGCGGAGCAGTTCAATCGGCACATGGTAAAAAGATACGAGTGGGAGGGAAGAGAGAGAGAACAGGCGTCACAACCACCCTGCACTAGTTAAACAGTTATAAATCAAGGCTTTTCATACAGACTGGAATTTATATTTAGGTTTTATTTTGATTAATCAGTGGCATGCATTAAATTCAACGCTTAAAAAGAAAAAAAAGTCATATTTTCTCAAGTTTCTTTGGAATATGTACATGTTAGTTTGACGCAGCAGGATAGCAATTTGGAAGATCACAAAGACAAAAAATACCAAGAAACCATCAATTGTTTTTATTTGTTCTTTGATTGGCCTTCATTAAGTTTTTTTTTTTCCATCTGTCGCCATAGCAGCAGAGAGCAGCTAAAAATCTGTATGCTCTGGCACAGACTGTGGTTCACACGATTCTAATTACAAAACAGAAAAGTAAGCATTCAGCTCTGCACAAGGACATTTAAAAAAACAAAAGCATCCTGATAATTAAAAAAGGCTATTTTTGGAGGATCTTCTAAATAATTGCAGCTGAAAAACAATTAGATAACCATGAAGTATATGTCCAAGCTACCTTAAAATGTGGCCTAATCAACCCTCCTATCCATGTGGAAGGATTGTCTGCTGTTCTATCCACGTCTACGGCTATATTCCCTCTACGGCCACATGAAAAGTATTTTATATTCCAGGTTTTCTGATGATTTAATTCCCCTCTATGTCTGTTCAATTCCACTATAGCAGGTGTCTTATGAAATGTATCCACTGTTCTTTATTCTCAAAGCTATTTAAGAAATAAAAGGGGAACAAGTCAATGCCAAGAATATAAATGTGGCTGCAGAGAGATGTTCAGGCTTCATAAACAGATGCATCACAACATTAAAGGAATTTCAAAGTGAGAAGAAGAGATCAGAGCAGTCGTTCCACACATAAGGGACCAAGGAAAGAAATTACAGAAAAAGACTATCAAGATGTTTTGCACATTAACAAAAAACAACTCTAAATTATAAGCCTAAAGCTTTCGTTCCATCAAATTGACTTTTGCACAACTGCCTTTTCAAAATATTTCTGTAAAAGTTGAAACACACACTCCCATCCATCTATAAAATATTAGAGTTGACCTATTTATTTTTTAATTTGCATTTAAAAGTTGCATCATGAGTAATGGCCTCTACCAAGTGAGGTGATCCTCAGCTGTTTTAATGAGTAATTTATGACTTTTTATCGAGTACGGAAAGCCTAGAAATGTTAATGCTCGGGAATTTTATAACCTTAGTTTGTAATTGCTTTGTTGTACTTTAATAATTAGTATTAATGGATAAAAGAGACGATATATTTAAATCAATGGAATATTCAGAGATTTCTGTGCTGGAAAATGCTTATTTTGTGATCTAGGGGAAGCTGGCTGATACTGATCTTCGACTAGGTAACATTATACACACACACAAACAAAACAATAGATTTTAAGGAGACATATTATGTCTTTCATTTCATAAAAACAAAAATTTATTTATTTATTTTTTTCCCAGAGGTTGAACAGAACAAATAAAAATCAGATTGGAGTGATCCTGTGTTTTGCCTCAGCGAGGAATTAAACTCAGCAGCTTAGAGACAATGTACGGTAAGCAAAATGAAAGTAAAATATCAAAATAACAAAAATCAACAATAACTATTGAGCTCCGCTTCGAAAACTGAGCATCACAATCCTAACTATGAGAGAGTTTTGAATGCTGCGCAAATTAGTCCCAATTCATCACATTTCAAGAACAATAAGAAGAAAGTTTAGTTGATTCTTCTAACAAGTAAACGTACCTGAACAAAGCCCATCGATGGTGGGCCGAAGTCACTGAAAGCTGGTCTAAAGCTGGATGATGACGGGAGTGATGGAGAGGGAACTGAAGACCCTGAGTGGAGGAAGAGTTTACATGTAAAACAAACTAAGAATAGAGCTTCTATTTAATAACCTAACCTCCTGATTATTTCATATCTTATCTCTCTAACTTAAGCTTTACAGACACTTGTAAGAGGGAGAAATTCTTCCCTATATTTCACATATAATCTTTATTTATATATCTTAGGACTTTCAGGCAGACCTGGTGGTGTGTGGTTGGAGCCCGACGGTGCAGGAGCAATAGGTTTATAACTCATGGCAATTTCAGCTGGCAGCTCCAGGTACGATGTGCTGCTTCCTTCAGGCCCGTCAGCCCAATGCTTATACAGCTTTCCTGTTGGTGAGGAGCTCCTAAGAGCTGCTCCAATAAAATGAAACACAATGGAGCAAACTGTTAAAATCCAACAATGTTTTTTTTTTTTTTTTCTCCCCTCAGCAGACATTAAGGCTCCAAAGATACGGTTTATTAACTTGAAGATGTAGAAGTTTTAACATGAATATTTAGGAGTTCAGCTTACTGTAACAAAATAATAAAAAGTTGAGCATAAAGCAGCTCCAACTAAACAAAAACTTCATTTATTTCTCGCTAAGAGATAAGCGACGTTAATGACTGTTAAGTAACAATAAGGTGCCGATCGGCGAGGGATTTCAATCAATTTGTTATCACACTTAAGATTAACCTTTATTTAAAATGTGGCATGATTTTCCCATTTGAATATCCTTTAATATTCCTGCTTGTTTTAGGTAAGAAGCTTCTATGCTTTTCTAAACAGCAGCCTTCTACTGAAGGTTTTGTATGGTGCAAACAATCAACAAATTAATTTGAAGCACATCAATACAATTTGAATAATTACGGGTTTGAATAATTTAGAGCCTAACTGTTTACAGCACCTTGCACAAGTATTCATAATGCTTTATATGGGGCCTGTAATTCATTCATTTTAATCGGAAACTATTTATCAACTAAACAAACCACTTTTTTGATTCAAAGACCCCTTTTTCTGCCCAAAATTATATATATAATTATATATATATATATATATATATATATATATATATATATATATATATATATACGGGTGCTGGTCATAAAATTAGAATATCATGAAAAAGTAGATTGATTTCAGTAATTCCATTTAAAAAGTGAAACTTGTATATTATATTCATACATTACATACAAACTCATATATTTCAGATGTTTATTTTGTTTAATTTTGATGATTACAAATGACAACAAATGAAAATCTCAAATTCATCATATCAGAAAATTAGAATATTGTGAAAAGGTTCAAAATTGATGGCCCCTGGTGCCACACTCTAATCAGCTAATTAACTCAAACCACCTGCAAAAGCCTTTAAATGGTCTTTCAGTCTAGTTCTATAGGCTACACAATCATGGGGAAGACTGCTGACTTGACAGTTGTCCAAAAGACGACCATCGACACCTTGCACAAGGAGGGCAAGACACAAAAGGTCATCGCTAAAGAGGCTGGCTGTTCACAGAGCTCAGTGTCCAAGCACATTAATAGAGAGGCGAAGGGAAGGAAAAGATGTGGTCGAAAAAAGTGTACAAGCAAGAGAGATAACCGCACCCTGGAGAGGATTGTGAAACAAAACCCCTTCAAAAATGTGGGGGAGATTCACAAAGAGTGGACTGCAGCTGGAGTGAGTGCTTCAAGAACCACCACACACAGACGTATGAAAGACATGGGTTTCTGCTGTCGCATTCCTTGTGTCAAGCCACTCTTGAACCACAGACAGCGTCAGAAGCGTCTTGCCTGGGCTAAAGAGAAACAGGACTGGACTGCTGGTGAGTGGTCCAAAGTCATGTTCTCTGATGAAAGTAAATTTTGCATTTCCTTTGGAAATCAAGGTCCCAGAGTCTGGAGGAAAAGAAGAGAGGCACTTCATCCACGTTGCTTGAAGTCCAGTGTAAAGTTTCCACAGTCAGTGATGGTTTGGGGTGCCATGTCATCTGCTGGTGTTGGTCCATTGTGTTTTCTGAGGTCCAGGGTCAACGCAGCCACATACCAGGAAGTTTTAGAGCACTTCATGCTTCCTGCAGCTGACCAACTTTTTGGAGATGCAGATTTCATTTTCCAACAGGACTTGGCACCTGCACACAGTGCCAAAGCTACCAGTACCTGGTTGAAGGACCATGGTATCCCTGTTCTTAATTGGCCAGCAAACTCTCCTGACCTTAACCCCATAGAAAATCTATGGGGTATTTTGAAGAAGAAGATGCAATACACCAGACCCAACAATTCAGAAGAGCTAAAAGCCACTATTAGAGCAACCTGGGCTATCATAACACCTGAGCAGTGCCACAGACTGATCGACTCCATGCCACGCCGCATTGCTGCAGTAATACAGGCCAAAGGAGGCCCAACTAAATACTGAGTGCTGTACATGCTCATACTTTTCATGTTCATACTTTTCAGTTGGCCAACATTTCTATAAATCCTTTGTTTTTATTGGTCTTCAGTAATATTCTAATTTTCTGATATGATGAATTTGAGATTTTCATTTGTTGTCATTTGTAATCATCAAAATTAAACAAAATAAACATCTGAAATATATGAGTTTGTATGTAATGTATGAATATAATATACAAGTTTCACTTTTTAAATGGAATTACTGAAATCAATCTACTTTTTCATGATATTCTAATTTTATGACCAGCACCTGTATATATAAATTATATATATATATATGCGCTAATTTGTATACATGACAAATTAACGCATTAGAGCCCTAGCCCTAAAATATATATATATATATATATATATATATATATATATATATATATATATATATATATATATATATATATTTAAATATATATATTCCAGCTACATCCAGCAGCCTTTTAGATGTCATATAGTTATAGACAGAAAAAATTAAGACAAACAATTCACTCTTGTAGGTGGTTAATGAAAGTCATGCTTCACTCAATTGTTAATTTTGTTCATTTTTCAAGCAGCGACCAGCATCATGAGGAGGTGATTTAGGCAATATTTTAGGAAGGAGGTGAGTATTTATGTTATTTTCCATTTGCTGGGCATTCACTCTCAACATATCAATAGTTGGGAATTTCAATGAGAGTCTGCAGACTGAAAATGCCTACACTAGATCTTATATCTTTAAGGGCTGCAACACTGCTGCTTAATAAAAGTGGTAACGACATTGTCTTAAGTGACCAGAAAATGTGTATCAGTAATAATATTATTTTAATTCTCACAGTAGCGCAAATAAATACTATCTGAACCTAATAAACACTGCTTTGAACTTCTCCAGAGCCTTACCCGTAACCTGTCTGGTTAGTTCATTGATATTTCTTTAGTTATATTCTGTTCACATAAATAAACAAATAAATAAGTTAATAATTTGCTGGTGAAGGTTCTCAGTCATCTAAGTCATTCCCAGGATTGGATAATATTTTGCTACATGTTTTGTCTTTCATTAAAAAAATTTTCTTACAAAACATTTAAAGTCATCAATAATAACAATAATAAAAATTAAAACCAATCCACTGGACTTCAAACGTCTTCAAACACCGAGTTTGAAGACGTTTCGCTTCCCATCCAGGAAACTTTTTCAACTCAAAATGTCACAAATAGAATTTGTTGGGCTTCTGTTTAAAGCCTCAAACCCAACGCTATTCCTGACATTTTCTTAATTGAAAAAGCTTCCTGGATGGGAAGCGAAACATCTTCAAACTCGGAAACCAAGTCCAGTGGATTATTTTTAATTTTTGGAAAGTTAATAAGTTTGATATATAAAAATAAATAAATAAAAATAGGTGCTTATGGAGCTAAATCTATGCTTTAATAACTTAAACACATCCAATCCTGGGAAGCTGTTGAGCAGCTACTTGACCTGAATTTTATTTAAGTGTAAAAGAATAAAGAGACCGTCTACACACATTGTAGATTTCTACTGATAATGATTTTGAAAATTATAATTTCGCTTTACTTTCACTTTTAAACTATGTGATCCTTTTCCTTGGTCTACAGCATAATAGCTCCAACAAACTGATTGATTTTCTGTTAGTATGCAAAAATAACTGCAATAAACTTCAATAAACATGAAAAACTTCTACTCAATGCAATAAAACCTTTTTAAATGACACACCGGTAATCATACCCTTTAAATTTCATAAATTTAGAATACTTTAAATAGATAAAGAATTGGAAAATAAACGGAACAATGCTATCTAATAAAGTAAATTAATAATATCCTGCTACATGTTTTGTCTTTCATTAAAAATAATTTCTTACGAAAGATTTGAAGTCACCAATAATAATAAAAAAAATAACCACGGACGTACCCAGCACGTTTTATCATTTGCACTTTTATATCCTATAAGTTATTGTGTTTTAGAAAACATTTTTTTGTTTCACCTATATAATATCTTTATTTTATTTTTTTTTATTTTATTTTTTGCTCTCTCAGTTCTAAAGTCCGAATCTGTCAGCTCTACAGCAGCCGCAGAGGAAAATGACTGAATGAAACAAAAGCTGACGTTAGCTTTAAGAGGAAGGTAACATTAGCAGGATTAGCATGAACCGGTTAGCATAATAACACAGGGCAAACAAAGGCGCCATGAAGGCAGTTATAACACGGTACGACGTCACAGGCTCGGTAGGATTAAAGCAGGTTGTTAAACACGCTCATTAGCTTCTAACAGGAGGCAGAAATGATTTAAAACAAAGCTATTATTTTACCTTTATATGAGGAGCTGAAATCTGTAGTAGGATGTGAACCTAGCACTTCCTTTATGTTCAGGCATGCGCACTAACCCAACATTCTGTGTAGTATTTTTTTTTTGCATTTCCAGCGATTTGATTGGTTGTTTATGGTACATTGGAACCAGCGTCGGTTTCAGACCTAAAACAAACAGTATAGTTGTATATATAATAGAAATACTTATGGACTATGATCATAATAATAATGATAAATAATTATAACAACAATAATAATGTCATTAATAATGATCATTTTATGAATAAATATTATTATTATTACTATCAGGAGTAATGCCTAAACTTCCTCTAAGAGTATGGAAGAGGATTAGGGCCACTGAAAAAAAAAAAAAGTTAACTGATTTTCACATTTTATTTCAGTTTAATATGGGAAAAAAGTCAGAATTCTGACTTTTTTTCTCAGAATTTTGACTTTAATCTTAGAATTCTGACTTTAATCTCAGAATTCTGACTGAATTCTGACAATAAAAAAAGTCAGAATTCTGACTTTTTTCCCATACTAAACTACTTAATTTTTTTTTTTCAGTGGCCCTAATCCTCTTCTGTAGATTTGATTGGTTGTTTGTGACACATTGGAACCAGCGTCGGTTTCAGACATAAAAGAAACAGTATATATATAATAGAACTAGTCCCAACAAAAGTTGTTGAAAGAACTTATTGACTATGATTATAATAATAATTATTATTATTATAATTATGATCAGGAGTAATAAGAGTAATAGTAGTTTTTCTCTGATAGCTTTTTATTTTGCACTGATGTCAGATAAACTGTCTCCAACCTTCTAATGTGTTCATCATAAGAGAACAGAGACACATACAGGCCAAACAACTCAATTAATCAATGTTTATTTATATAGCTTTATACAACAACACATGTGGTACACAAAGTGAAAAAGATGATGAGACAAAATCAATCAGAAATATAAAAAAAATAGAGAAAATTATGGAGGCATATTCTGCCACTCTCTTGAACAAGCAAAAATGTATATCCCATATCTCCGTTGATTCTACATATAAATAACAGGTTCCTTTTTTTGTTATAATAACAGTCAAGGGTGCGGAAGCAAAGTGGAGCAGGACTATCCTTTGTGGAGGCACAGGCATAGATTAATGCACATTTAAAACACGGAAAGCTTATGTTATTCAGGTGCTGTTAACCATCATACCTGCTGAGAACACAAAGCTATGAAGGCCTTACTAAAATAACACAATTAGCACTTCCGAAGACAGCTTTCAAGAGGAATAGATCAAAAATGCAAGAAGTTTCTGGGTAACATTTTCATCCTCAGATGAGGGATTGTTTATCAAGAGGAGCCTTTGCTGTGAGTTACGTTTGTGTTGTTTTTGATGTTAGTTTTTTGTAAACATTATCAAATAAATGTGGTTATGTTCAAATTTTAATGATTGTAAAAATGTTAATCATTATATATTTATTATTTATTTTGTAATAAAAAAAATGTTCCCAGCAGAAAGAGTTCCTTAACCCAGAGTTTATTACCGTACAACTGGTCAGACTGGGCCCACTGTCTTTTTAGTGTTTCTCTTCTGCCACACACCTGACCTAAATTAATAGATATGTAACAGACTGGATGACACATATAAGGTAATGCCATTTGAATCAGATGTGCTGAGGCAAAAATAAATTTCAATCCTAAAGGACTGTGGACCCTGGAGATTAGATCGGGGAACACCATCATAGGCTACACAACTGTAGCTTCAAACAGAAAACTTTTAAGTCCACTTCCCAAGAGCTGTCGTCTTGCAACATTTAGATTCAAATGCCTTTATTGTCCCACAATGGGGAAATTCACTCTCTGCATTTAAACCATCCCCTTGATGAGCAGAGGGCTGCCATTATGTGGCATCAGGGGAGCAGTGTGGGGTTAAGGGTCTGGTTCAGGAACCCAGAGTGGAGGCTGTGGGGAGGGAATCGGGTATTTACAACCTTCTCAGAGCACATGTGCACTGCTCTAACCGCTAGGCCTAGATGCAACATGCCTTAATGAAATCTCACTTCAGCATGTCAGTTTACTGAAGAGAGCTCTGCATAGGCCTGGTAGAATAGAATAGAATAGAATAGAATAGAATAGAAAATATGTAATATGTAAATCTATTGAAAATGATTGTTTCAGAAATGCACAATATACCTTCATATTTTTGCATAAAATATGTAATAAAATTCCTACAAAATGCTTTTTCCAAGACTGTAAAGAAAATTGTTAAAATAGCATCAGGAGCATCTTGAGGTAGTTCGACACAGTGATAGATAGGAAATGCTGCAGCAGATAAAAAGAAGGATCTGCTATTGCGCTACCCTGTGTACCAAGAATGCAGTAGTAATTTTCTACAGTTGCTCTCCACTTCTGCAACAGCTTAACAGAGACATTGTCCAATAATTAGTCTTATTTTGGCCAAAGATCTTGTATTTCCCATTCCAGCTACACTGAGTCAAGGATACATCCAAGGACGCAGCTGGCTTTCCAGATTATTTTATCGAACCGATCTTCTTTAAATCATGTTTAATTCATAGTTTGAGAAGCAAAATTTTTCCTCAAAATAATCTCTCCTAATTTGATTTGTGCTTATTTAATTGCCTGTCAGAGCAGTGAAAGGCTGTAGTGAATGCTGTAGTGTTCTGCATCATTATGCCTACATTTGCAGCAATGTCACCATTCTTTCCCTGCCCTCTCTAAAAATTTGATAAATTAATAGCCATCTAAAAGTTACATTTCAATGATTAAGTGGGCAAAGAATTATTAATCACATTAATTATAAAGAAGGTCAAACCTGTGATCCTAATCAAATTAATCTTATGTTGGGACATCATCGTTTATTTTTGACCTGAGAATATGATGTACAAACAATTATACATTACATAAAAAATAACGTATTATACAGGTTATCTTGCCAGAAAGAATAGTAAGAAGAAAATATATATAATCCCACTCCTTTCATTCATAAAACAAATGTTTATAAACATAAATGGTTCAAATCCACCTTCATATAACAGAATAATAAGAAACAAGCATTGATAGTTTTCTTTTAGTCTTTATGATACATTTTTTTTCTCAATCTTGTACAAGAACTGGTAATGGAAAAAAAAGATGGTAATTTAACGCAAGCAGTAGTCTCTCTATGTTGTGAAATCTATGTGAAAGCGATACAGATGAACACTACGAAGTATAGGAGGGACACCTTTGTTTGAAAATGTATTATAAAAGCACCTTAAGGCTTTTGGACGTTGTATGAAAGGAAGCAGATTTGTAAAGGTCCACAATGCTTCTCCTTTTACCATCTTGGCCGATTTCATTTGATTTTATATTAAATGAAGAAGCTTTGAGTTGAAGGTGTTGTCTTATATTATGCATTCACAGGTGTGAAGCCATTGAACTGAGGTTTGAAAGTTTTCAAGTTGTTTAACATATGAAATATTGTGGAGGTCAATATCTTTTTGACACTGTCCTCGTTTTTACTGTATTTATTCATTATTAATATGACTGATTGAATGAATAAATAAAGTTACTATTTTCAGTTCTACAAAATGATAAATACACATTGAGCCTCTAAAACTTATTCTGTTTTTTCTTAAATTTTAGGTGACAAAAATGACTTGCATATTAGAGTGTTTGGGAAATTATGCAAATTTGTAGGGCTGCAACAAACTGTCTTTCACACTAATGATGCTAAGATGCTGGGAAACAATGACAGCCATCTGTTTGACAGTGAAATAAGAATCCAATCAGAGCAGTGTAAATCACTGAAGAGGGAAGCATAAAGAAAAAAAAAATCTTGAAATAGTAGCAGCAAAATGTGCAATACAAATAAATGATGGCTTTTTACAGAAAACATTTTGGACAGAGTCCCAAACAACCACCCAAAGTAAATAATACAGTAAATGAGCATTGCTTTTAACCATGAGATTTTCCTCTTTAAATTTATTATCTAACCTATGTGACATTTTATTGTACTGGGTCACCTTGCCTCTACCTTTAATTTCCCTCATGTTAACTGTTGAATGAATAGAATGATGGAAAGAAAATCAATTTCAATTAAACAGGATAAATATTGTTTAAAATCATATTTAAAAAAAAAAAGTTGTAGACAATTATGCCTTTGGGCAAGTATGGTCTCCTATAGAGGTCAGTTATATAGTTGATTTGAAATAAACACATTTGTAAATGTATAATTTGGAATAAACCAATCCAAGTTGTATAGGGATGTTAAAAAAATATAGAAAAAAGAGGAAGAGCACCATGGGGATATTTATTTATTTTATAAATAATTCAAAATATGTCAGTATGGGATACCATGTAGTCGATTTTGCTACCTTTTCTTATATAACAGTAACCACATGAAATTATCAAAAATCATCAAAATTCCAAATTATCTGGCCGAAAACGCTTTCCTTAACTCTACTGATCTCTATTTGGAAAAGGCAGAATTGTCTCCAGTATGTCTCTAAATGGTTTACATTTGAACAAATTGGGCTCCATATGAAAATACCATCAAAACCTTCACGCCTGAGCCTTTATACACATATGGAGTTAAATTACGTCCTTTTCTTAATCTATACCGTTTAATATTATGTCTGTCCACCCTTTGCAGCTGCAGCAGCCTCAACTCTTTTGGGGATTTCTGAGATTGCACGGGAAATTGTTACTACTCTTTTATGTAAACATTTTAAGATCAACTATGACGGGGAGAAGGAGGCATGGCTTATAGGTTCAGCTGTAATCTACCCTTAAGATGCTCTGTTGGATTTGCATGAGGACTTAGTCCAGGATAGTACACAAAAAATGTACTAATCCATGTCTGTAAAATCCCTGCATTGAGTACCGGGCTGAGTTATGTTCAAACAGGAAGGACCAATTTCAGAGATGCTACCACAAAGTTCAGTGCATGAAATTGCCAAAACTGTTCTAATATGCTGCAGTTATTCTGCAAGTGCAGGGAATAACCAATTAGACTGTATTCAGGTAAGAGTAGCACTAATTTGACATTTTCTTACTTGTGTAAAGAGTTTACT